GAGGATGTTCACTGTTCTTACAAGATGACGTCGGACACATTCCGGCCGAATAAAGCAAGCTTGAAAGCCAACGGGGTCCTCGAGGAGGAGATGAAAGCCTGAGCGAATGGTGATTTCACCCTCCACACTGAGAATCAGATCTAGGGTCACAAAAATACCGGCCTCGAGCCCTGGTCCCACGGTTATTCCGAACGCCGTTTGTGATTTGTACAACGGAATTGTTAGGGTCGCGCCAGCTGCAATGGTCGTGTCCATTTCCATGTAAAGGTCCATGTGGTCGATCTGGAATAAGAGTTGGACTTCTGGGAGCGGGGGCAAGTCAATGTCGATGTCAGTATCGATACTGACGTTGCCGAAATTGATGAACTCGTCAAGTTCGAAGTCGCCGGGACCGATTAACTGCTTAAGCTCCTCGAAGTTAATGGAGTCGTCAAGACTCTGCACTGTGGTTTCAATCAGATCACCGAGCTCATCCTTGAGCTGCCCGGTTACGTTGCGAACTGTGTCTCCAAGATCGAACCCCCCCCCGATGGTCAACTGAGCCGTGGCGCCAGCTTTGAAGTAGCATGTCACACACTTGATCTCAATGCTGACCTCGGCTGTCGCGTTCTCAAACTTTGTGCCGGCCGTGTCGGCTTCATAAGTACTGCCTCGTATTAGTGATGAAAGTGGAAGGTGGGCACCATCAACTTGATGGCATCAAGGCAGAACCAAGGGAACCCACTAGCTGAACAGAGTTGCATCATTCCAACTCTTGTCAAGGCTTGCGCTGTTCTTGAACACATTCTCTCGGCGCGCATGTGCCAAGTTCGCGAGGCGGCGCCAGATGAGATGGCGGGTCTGCTCGTCCGAGGTGCCGGGGAAGTTCCGGGTCCGGACCGCGACGATGGGTGCCGGCGTGGCCGAGGCCACAACAAGGCCGGCGGCCCAGATGAGGGCAGAGCAGAAACCAAACTTGACCATGATGGCTGGTCGAGCAAAAGTTGGCAGCCGAGTCAGTCTAGCGAACAGAGATGCCTCGAGACCTACTCCATCACGGGCTTCTGGTATTCTTTATGCCGTTGGCTCGTCCAGTGCTCGAGTCCCGGACAGCTGTTTCCAATGACTGCGGATGGCTGTTTGGCCCCCAACTCACCCTGGGTAAGGCATCATGAGTGGCCGCGAGGGTTCGGCCGCAGGCACCCCATGGAAGAAAAGTCGGGATGGGAAGTTGGTGAATGTTTGTGTGGGGCATATGCAAGACTACGCCGCATGGTCGCAGGTGGTTGGTCTCAGCGTGGCTGTGATGCAAGCTCGAAGCCTGCCACCACACAAACCACGCCTGCATCAAGGGCCCCCAACCTGCGGTTTTGAGGTCGTGGGAACCGGTCCCCTGCTCTTGGCACGTCGCCGTGCCACATTGCTGTTCCAGTTACCGTGGAGGGGAAAGGTTAGACCTCGGGCATTCGGGCAAGCGTCCTGCATGTTGACAGTTGGTTCCACGGAAGAAAGAGCGTAAGGCTGGGAGATTGCGGCTTTCAAAGCCTCATCTGCATGTCTGCGGCTGCCCGACTTCTTACCAACGAGCCGCACCATGCATTCAAGGGACATGGGTCGTTACAAATCACATTCCGCCCTTTGATGCCCGTTGGGCTGGGGATGAGAGCGCGCCACCAAGAAGCATCGTGCTGAAGTTCTGAACCTGCGGGCTTTCGACTTTTTACCCCGTGCTTGGAGACCTTGGCGTGTTGGATGTGTTGCAGGCGAAACCGACTTATGCACGACAGGGGCCAGGAATCGTGGCCCAGTGTGACCGGACCCAGACGCATGCTGCACTGGAAGCAGCCACAGGTCCAAGAATAGACTGACAGGGCCCGCCACGCGAGGCTGGGCAAACACCAACCATACCATGCATCTATGTATCAGAAAGAAAGGAAAGGCTGTGTTGGCTCTGTTGGTTTCCAAGATCGGCAAGAGGTTGTTGTGGCATTTCCCAGTCACCCCATTATCACGAAAAAGACGCAGCGCTGTGATTTTGTGACAACAAACCAACCAACATGTCCAATGACTGCTGGCCCCCAATGACACCTGATCACCCCTGGTATGCAGCGAGGTCAGTGCTGTTAACGTACCTTACCCGAGTATGGCACACGGTACGCAGCCAGACTAGTTGGTCATACTGTGCAAGATTCTGGGGTTGGATTTGCGGTTTCTGCCAAAGTTTTGGGGATAACTAGAACTAACCCGCATCTACATACGTACCAGGTAATTGATTCTTGATTTAAAATCCAAGGCCATGTCCCAACATAATTACATTGCAATTGTCCACACCGAGGCAGGCAGGTAAGCACATAGGTGGTACTTACACACCCCTCAGACATGACATCGACTGCCCACATGCGCCCCCCCCCCCCCCGGCCGCCGCCGGGCCGCGGGTCGAAGAAGGTGAATGCGAGAGTGTTGGTGGGGTTGTTGCGCTTTGCGCAGGGCAGTTCCGCAAAATCCTGGGAAGTTATGTGCCCGGGCACGCTGGTGTTGTGGACGGCTTGGGGGATGGCGGTGAGGAGGTTGGTAAAGGAGGCGTTGGGGAGGGCGAAGAAGGCCGTGCCGGTGTCGGCTAGGCCGTTTGGGAAGTTGTCGGGGTCCGAGTGTTGGGTCGAGCCAGATGCGTTCTGTTTGGCTGCGGATTGTGCCTTCGGATATCATCCGTTCATTGAAGAATGGGTAGAGAGGAAAGGTCCCGCGGGATACACCAACTTGGATCGACGGGAAGCTTGTTCCGAGTAGACTGTAGGGTAGCGGTGCAGATGAAGTACCTACTGTTGATGACTTGGCCATGGACCGTGGCGCCGGTGATTTGGAGGGGATCGGTAATGTATGACCTACTGGCAATGGGGAGACCGAGGGGCGGTGGTTGGAATTTACCAGGCCCGACTTCTTTATAAGTCTTTGACCTTCTATTTGAGTCTGTCCAGCAGTTAGGGAGAGCAACGGAAGCACTGGTGGTTAAAGGCAGATACTGACATTGTGGAAAGCAGATGTCGTTCGGTGTCTGGTAGTATCAAGCCCTAGAACTCAAGAGTGGTAACAATCTCCTCAACTGGACACCGAATTGGAGGAGGCTTTCATGGACTAATGCATGAAACCGCATAGCAGAGCCAATGTAACAGATACCGTCCGGGAAAGACCCTAAGATAGGTACACCGAAGGGTGTGTCCCACGATGCCGACGCGCAGCCAGCCAGTAACCTCAATCAATTTCCCCCCAACCCCTTACTCATAAATGTAACAAAACTTCCCACTCAGCCCACCCATCGTGCTCATCAACTCCCTCACCTTGACATCCGGCGCCAACACCCCCAACCCACTCAAATCATCCAACGTCCCGTTCGCGCTCGGGGGCATATTATTCATGGTCCTCGTCATACTCACCTGGGTCAGCCTCTTCTCAAGATCCTGCATCTGCCAGATCCACCACACACGATCAATCATGGAATGGTGCAGCCAGAAAGCGGGATCACCCGGGGCTGACGTAAAAGTCACCCGCCGGGTCGCCCGACACGGTGTAGTGGCCGCCCGCGTGCACCCCCCACTTTGCCCTGCGAGAATTGACCCTCCATGACGGTCTGGAACCAGAAGATCTCCTGGTTGGCCGTGATCAGCTCGTGCGTGTAGTTGGCTGTGGTCACGGCCGCCGCGTGCTTGTTGACGTCGCGGCGCAGGCAGCGCGGGTTGTGGCCCAGCCCGTCCGCGCGGGGGTTGCGCTTGATTTGGAGCGTTGGCGCGAGCGGGCCCAGGTTGACCGTCATGCTGGAGGGGGCAAGGTGGTTAGGGACAAGACAAAATGGCGAAGACTTCCTATGAGAGTCTTGGATTGGAAGTACATACTTCTTGAATGGACCTGTGGTAACGCAACCGCCGCCATCCGCGGGTGGAATGGTGCCGGCGCCGGGTATGTTGATGCCTTGGTGGGGTTCCTTTGCACCATTACCTCCCATGCTTGCCTCGCCGCCGTCGAAAAGCGGCGAGTTGACCGGGTCTTTGGCATAACGGTCCCAGTTCCAGTACTGTTTCTCGTCAGGGACTGTGTCTCAAAAGTCACTGAAGGAGTTCGCTTACTGGCTGATACCCCTTGTATCCACATTCGGTTCTCAGGGCGTTCTCATAATGCCAGACGTAGTAGCGATGCCACGGGAGGAAGAACGTCTAGCGCATGTTAGATGGTAACGCCACGATACTAATAAGTATCTTACCGAGCCGTGATTCCTCGGCGTTTGTTGGATATGAATGACCACTAACAATCTTGTCAGTCACCGTATATCGGCTTTTGTGCCCGGGGCTAGTCATTAAGGGTTGGCCAAGCTTCAAAAAGTTTCACATACCGTAGTCATCAAACCTGCTCTTCGCGCCCGGTGCTGCCGCGCTGGTCAAGGCGGGTTTCGACTGAAGGCATAGGACGGCGTCGGTGTAGTCCTTTCGTTCCTGAGGAGTCAAATCGCTCCTACCAAATGTTAACCATCAATCGTATGCTGAAGTCGAAAGGATGGCACTGACCACTCTTTCCGTCTGACGGCCGTTTCAACAGTACAACTGTCCTGGGGGTTCTTTGCTAGCCATTCCTTCAGTTTCGGCAAACTGTCGGTTGCCAACTTATCGACCGCATCAGGAGGATAGGACTGAGACACCGCTAGGCCGGCGAAGAGTGCAGTTGCCCAGGCCGTGGAGTGGACCATCATGAGCGTTACGTCAAATGCGAGTTGGCCGATGGTATGGTTGTGTTGGGGAGCCTTCAGTCGGGCGAAGATGATACGTGGGATAACTCCCTTTTAGTTATGTCTATTGCCAGCCACGTTCTGGCCACATGGGATGGCGGTCATCTCCCGCCCCTCGACCCAGTTTTTAATTGCCCGCTCGTTTAGCACGGGCTTTGGATCCAGGTAGTAAGGTCGAGCCGTTCGTCATTTTGGGTAAGCCAAGTGTCACTCGTATGCAAGCGAAGGCGGCTCGGCAGTTGATGGTCATACCCTCATCTCGGCAGCCGCCGGCTACATTGACCAACGCGAGACGTATGCTTTGCATATTGGTTCGGCGCCCAGCGGAATGTTGATTATCAGTGGGGTTGATAGTGACTGCCCCGTCTTAAGCCGCGGGTTACCCCCAGTGGGATGGGCTGTGATGAGTTGATGGTAGCACATGCATACCTAAGGTTGGTAGCTTTGGTCAGTTTCGTTTACCATATGACGGTCTAGACGAGCGGAAGAGGGCAACATGTTATACCTCAGGTGTGTGTCCTACTATCCCACACATTCCATTGGCTCCTATTAAACCAACACGAACCTGGGAACCCATTTATCCGCGAATTGGAAAGATGACGGCAGGTTCTGTCCTACCATGTCATCACAGCATTCCCCTGTTTTGAGCTGTACACCAATCGGGAAACGCATACTATGGGCCTCGCGAGAGATGGAAGGATTGGTTTTAATAACCGCATAGCTTGGCAGGACACACAAGCGGCTGGCGCGGCCGGTGTCGGCATGAAATATGCAGCGGTGAAGCTCATTTAGCCCTCGAGTCCGAAGGGATGCAGGCTCAAGGCAGGGTACCTTATCATTCGAAATCGTATCTACGTTGCAACCGGGGAAGTTCGGAACCTTTCGCAAACTTTTAACTTCAAAGCCCCCCGCTAAATACGATGAGAAGCAAGAACGGACCAACATACCTAGCTCTAGGTACACTATGACATGAGCCTGTCGTTCTTCGCATCATCCTATCTCCATATGTCCTACCTAACATACAAGTTTCTGAACTTTGTCGAATCTAAGTAGGTGGTGAATCTGACAATCCGGTTGTCCTGGGTGGGTTGACGCTGTCAAACTAAGGTTATGGTTTGTTTGTGGCGGTCTTGCGTCACTCCGTTGGCGAACTCTGCATAGGAGCCGGTTACTGCGGTGAATCTCGCAGTTCCAATTCTCTCAAGCTTTGTCGCGTCATCTGGGCATTGCGCTAAGACAAGGAACTCGGCCTCTGACTCGTTGACTGAAAGACAAAGTGCCAACACCGGCACCCCTGGGCCCCATTCCCCTTCAACATGTTTCACCTCCCTGCTTGACCGACGTACTGACCAGAACCCGGCGCCGTCTGGCCCTTCCGTCTTAAATTTGACAAGAGTTGTGTCATCTTCCAAGATTGCCTTTTGACCGGCAACGTTCACGCGGAACTCAAACCCGCTGTAGCTTCCTGGCTGATGGGTGACTGTTGCTGGATGAACAAACCCACACAATGTGAGACTCGCGTATTTTATCTCACCGAGCGGGTCCTGGCGTTTAGGTTCCACAACCCAACTGACAAGGGAGACGAGGTCAGGCAAGGGGTCGGGGGCCGTAGGCGTACATATTGGACTGTCGATAGAAGCCCAGGAGAAGGAAGGTGCCCTGTACTCGGGAGGGCAGGGTTTGATGTCGTCTTGGGGCTTCCAGTTCAGGCTCCGCGTCAGGTCCTGCAACCAAATGCCAGCAACGTAATCGGCTGAAGTTGTGCGTTGGATCGCTCGAGCCAGGCCTGAGATGGCGGGAAGTTTGTCGGTTGAAAACGAGAGGGTCCGTTGGGTGTAGAATAAGAGGACCTCGTCTGCCCAGAATCTGAACGGGTCGCTTTGCATGCTTGTTGGTCCGCGACGAACGGAACCGGCGTCATGATCGAGTGACCCACACTGGCAGGTGGACGAAGATCTGCATGACCATTGCATTTCCTGTCGAGAAAAGGCAATGTATCGACGGGACAGAATCTCTTCCTGGAAACACCAGCCCCTTGTCTGTACCGGATCGAAGTCCCCTTCTTGGGTACCCATTGTCGGTCCCCAGTCGTTGCGCAATGCCGAAGCGTGTAAGCCAGTTCGTATCTTCTCTTGCGCGACCAGGGTAGTCGTGACGCCATGCTCTTCCGACCATGATCGGGAAATTTGCAGAGGGTTTCTCTTACAAGCGAGGAACCCGTCCGCGGAGGCGGCGGCTGATAGCGCTGCAATGGTAACGTAGGCGTTGTTGTAGATATCAGCCATCATGCCTGATTCCTTTTCCCAATCCGCAGCATCACCCTGGACAATACAGATCGCATCTATCCAGATATACTCGATGCCAAGTTGCCTTGCAACTGTGACAGCGTCTTGCAGAGTCTGTGGCAACTCAGAAATCCTAAACCCTTGTTTGTGTTCATCGATGTTCTTCTGAGTGGTTTTGAAGGAGGCGGAAGCACCCCAGCAATAACTCAGTGCAACATATTCGACTGGGGATGAGATCCCGGGCACTGGGCCAAGTTCTACAAGCCGTAGTTGTTCAGTGTTGTCGGGGCAATGTATGAGCCGTGTGGGTTGGAAATCTGGACGCCGCTGAGAGCAGCCGGGGTGGTTCTGTTTGCAGTTCTGGAGTTGCGCAGAAATGAAGGCAAACGGGTCATTGTCTTTGCCAATGTTGTTCGTTGGAAGGTTACGCTCGTGATCTGGGTCGTCAAACCGTAGAGAGGTCCAATGTTAGTCGGTAGCCTGTTCTCAACTGCAGTATGCATGTACTCGCGCACAATAGAGGAGAAGCGTACCGGGACGCACGTATACCCGCACCATAAGCCGACCGCCAAATCTGAAATCTAGTCTCTTGCGCGGCGGATCCGACTCAACAGAGGCGTGTATCTCGCTGTCCGACGCCAGAGACGGGACCATCGCGGTCGCTGCATCGTAAATAAACTGGCAAAAGTGACAGCTAGCGGGTGAAGTACCCGCTAACCTTGATGTCCACAGAAAGAGATCGCCGAATTCCGGATCGTCGGGATCCAAGTTGCGGCATTGCTCGCAAATGGCCGGAGTAGGGGTTCCGGACTCAGACTCGTGGAGCGCCTCTTTACCGGCATCGGCCTGTGCCCGTTCCTGTTTCTGTTTCCATGGCCCAGGGACAGAAGAAAGAAGGTTCCGTAAATGGTCACGTTTGGGCATGGCGTAGAGGTGGGAAAAGGATGGGAATCACTACCAGCACTATGGGTACCGAAGAACTCCAAAGGGGAAGAGGGGTTTTGGGTTGCTCTATTGCTTCCCCCGCTTGCACTGTTACACACCCTGGCCACTCATGAGTTGAGGGATCCTGTGCCAGTCATCCTCTCAGTTACGGGCTGGATCAAAACACGACAACGCGTGTAGGAGCGTTTTAAAACTATATTATTTAGCTAGTTACCTGATAATGGCTGTTCAAAGCTAGCTCTTTATAAGTCACAGCTCCGCCACAGGGCCAAACCTCCACGTTATTCTCCCTACCTCGACCCCCTGCCACTCCTGCACGAGCGCATACTCATAATCTCCTTCACCCTTGTACGTTTCCTCCGGAACCTTCACTTGCAGCTGACAATCCGCAACACTCTTTGCCGCCAGCACGCCCTTCCCAATCTGCACCGTCTCTCCCGGCTGCAACCCCACGACCACAATCCCTTGACCATCCTCCCCACGATGAGCACACCCCTTCATCCCCATCGTCCCCGCCAACCCCTGTGGCACTTGCAGCCTCACCTTCGACCCCTTCGGTAGCTTCCCAACCCCCCTCACCACAAACTCCCTCGCATCATCAAACGCCCCCGGAATCTTCAGCGAAAACCTATGAAACCCAGTCCCATTCCCCGACGCCGGCGGCGCGCTCACCACGCCCACGTTCCGCCACGCAACATTATTACTCCCCTGCACCACACCCGTCACAAACTCCTCGAACCCCCCCGTCAGCGCCGGCACCGGCACCGGATCCGTCCCCGCCCCCACCACCGCCACAAAACAATACCCGCTCCCAGCACTATCCGCAGGCGCCGTCCACTCCACCGCCGGCGCCACCACAAACACGCCCCCCTCCGGCACCTCCCCGACCTCCACGCTCCCCACCACATGCCACATCTCCGGCGTGACCAGCGTCGCCGGCTCCGCCCAGTACACCGTCGCCGTGGCGTCCTGCGCGGGGCTGCTGCCGCGGTTGAGCAGGCGGAGATAGACGGCGTGGGCGTGGCCGGGCAGGATGGGGTCGGACAGGGAGGGGTTGGATTCGGTGCCGCTGTTGGAGCCGAGGGTTGTGGCGGGGTGGGGGAGGGAGGATTGGCGGATGATGATGTCGGGGCTGGTGAAGCGGTGGGAGGTGTTGGGCTGGGTGGGGGTGGTGGCTTCGCCGGTGTCGCCGACGTGGTCGCGTAGGTAGAGGTCCGAGGTGTCGTTGGCGCCGGAGAAGATGGTGTCAATGATGGCTTGGAGGTCGGGCATAATGCCGATGCGGTCGTTGGGCGGGTCGGCGCTGGGGGTGCCGCCGGTGGTGGTGAGGATGCGGCGGAGTTCGATGGGGTGGAGCTTGGTGTTGTGGCGGGCGTGGGACATGGCTTGGACGATGGCGGCGGCGCCGACGATGATGGGCGAGGCGCCGGATGTGCCGCCGAACCAGCTGGTGTACCAGTCTGCGGTTCCGGTGACGTCGTCGCTGTCGGCGGTGTCGATGCCGTCGGACCATGCGTATACGTCCATGCGGGAGCCGTGGTTGGATCCCCACCACCGGGTGTGGGGGACGGCGGGGTTTGCGCCGCCCACCATGATGGCGCCGGAGTCGCGGAAGTCTGGGCTGGAACGGTCAAAGATGCGTTTTCCTGAGAGGCTGGTGTACAGGTCTAGGTCGTAGCCGCCGTTGCACCCGGCTTGGACGACGGTGATACCCATGGCGGTTGCGAGTTGGATGGCGTCGAAGTTGACGTCGACGATCTCCACCGGCCAGTAGTAGACGCCGCTGACGGGGTCGTACTCTTGTGCTTCGATCAAGATGATATCGCCGAAGCTCAGGTGAGCGGCTGCGTCCAGGATAGCATCGGCGGTGTTGTAAGTCCAATCGTCACGGTGCTGCGAGACCACCCTCCCTTTGGCCGCGGGTATGATCCCAACCCCACCGATCTGGTTGTCGACCATGAACATCTCCCCGAGGACGGATGTACCGTGCGCAAACCAAGCTTGGTTTCGACCTGAGATCAGTGTAATGCCCGCGGCGGCCTGTTCTACATGTTAGACCTGCGTCCTTGCAAACCTCACAACTCCTAATAGTGCGTGTGGCTTACCAAATCTTCGTGGTTCAAATTCCACCCTTGTTCCACGTCTATGATATTCGTTCCCGCGCCATCACCGCCAGGGAAACCCCAAGCGTACCGCGCATTAATACCTTGGGGCGCCGCGTTGAGGTATCCTTGCCACACGTTCCGAGGGTCGTCACCGGCATTGACTGCGGGCGGGGGCCCGGGATAGAGCGCGTGCGCGCTCTCGACTTCTGGAAGCTTATGAAGCCGGTGAATAAGCTCGAGGGTGTCCTTTGGCAAAGCTAACCGCGGTTCGTCGGTTCCTGTGGTATTCTGTGCGGCGGTGTCGCCGACGTTTCGCGCTTGGTTCTCTGAACCACCCGGCCCGACCTGGACATTGTACCATGCGTTGAAATTGGGTACCTTGAAAGTATTGAACTTCCCCGTAGGCACTACTTTTGCCTCTAGGTCATCCAAGCGTTGGGATGTGAGGATGGGATCGACAGAGACCTCTTCGGGGGCTGACAGCCTGAACGATGCTGGGCTGGCACTTTGTATGAGCGATGCGATAAAGTTAGGATCGTCCTGTTGTTTTGCCTGAGCTTCCTCCGTCAGCTTCAATGCAATCCTTGGCTGGTGCGGTTGCTGGGCGGTAACGGCAGGCGCCCATAATAGCAAGGCACCGAGGGCGCTGCAGACCACCGCTTGAACCGCTTGTGTCTTCATCTTGTCGTTTTCACAGGGACAACAAACACCGGGCCCCGAAGCCACGAGAGAGGGATGCAACCCGTGGCCGAATTTCTCTTATACCTCCAGTACATCTCACGCCATTGTTGCCTAGTGCCCAACACGAACTTTAGCTCGGGTCTAGCCCCTGGCCCGAATCATGCACCTTCTTCTAGACATGCTGGCTGGTACCGATGGGTGGGTCTATTGGCTGACGGCCATCATGAGATTGGCTGCGACGCTGCACAGTGGTTGCAGCTGAGAATATCCTAGTCCCCTTCGGGGCTGCGTAGGAGCAAAAGAACGAGCCGTTGAAGCCACTCCGCCTCGCTTGGCTCTAATACGAGAAAAACTTGGGCCTGTGACGCACAAATCCGTGTCCCAGCTCACCGCACCAATCGAATCGGCCATCCGGACGAAGTAGCTATCATGATGGCGTCGTTTGAACCCAGTTGACGTCGCTACATGTAATGAGCGTGTTCACCATTGTGTGTGGCCCCCGTGTGGGACGGAAAATACGAAAATACGATTCATCTACGAGCGACCTACCTCCCAGGTACCTAGGGACCTGATTGGGTAGGACCTAAGCAAGGTACCTAGGTATTTCTGTACTCAGGTATCATGTACCCCCTCACCCTGCTCTTCCAGACAATGAACATGAACCTTGAGAGTCCCTGTGGCTTAGTGTGGCTCATGTCCAGCATACAGGGCGTGAACAGGCTCACCAGGATATTCGTCCTGGTCGATCTCCCGCAGATTCCTCGATCTTTCTCCAGATTTCATTCTGCGGCAAAGGCGACAAAAGAGCGGGAGTGACCGCAAGGCATCGGGCGAATCAGCAACATCACCTCGCCAGGGAGTCCGACAACTAAGCCCAGATGGGATTGAGATTGAGGTTAACACTCAAGGGTCTTTGGCTTCCAGTATCCCTCGCGCCGTCGAACGGTTGAACCGAGGAGCCGGATCAGAGGATTCGCTTCTATGTACTAACTGCATGTAATTTACATCGTTTGTTCAGTTGTTCCAAGCAGTAGCCGGGATGTTGCAGAAGGGTTCTCTGTTGTCCTTCGTGCTCAAGACGGTAAAAGAATTGACATTGTAACGCGAGCTGATTTTCTCAGAGGTTGACTCAGGAGCAGATGAGCTGCTAATTGTCTACTGATTTCCGAGCCGTGTCCACATCCCCAGTGTGCCGTTAGTTGGCGCGGATCTCGCGCGCGGCAAAGAACCTGCTCCCAATGTCCCCCTCCTCATCCACGCGGATCTCGGCAGGCGGGTAATTCGGGTTGAAGGTGAATCCGACCACACCTGTGTTCCAGCCGCCGCCTAGTTTAATTCTGGCGGGACCATATAGGGACGCTGGGCCACCCCCATGGAGGTGGTAACCAACCGCGGCTACTTGACCGATTAGGGCAGTCGCCGACAGGAAAATTGATGAAAGCTGCATGGTGGCTGATGGCTGATGGTTTGAGGGGGTTCGTTATGTTGGCGAGGTGAGTCTAGGTCATGTGGGTGAGATGCTGATGAGAATGTAAAGGAATGCTGTTTGTTTTATAGTGTTAGCCCACATATGGCCCTTGTGTTTTGGTTTGGGCAGACGTGGTGAGGATCTTTTCGTAAACAACCTAGGTAGTCCGGGCAAAGATACTGTTGGAAAGCCAACAGCTACGAATTGACTGTACCAAGGTGATTCGGTACCAAAAGGTGATGAAAGAGGGGCAACCAGTCCATTGATGATGATGTCTGTCTCTCTGTCTCTGTCTTGTTCCCACTGCCGCGGGCCTCGCCCTGATCCTGAAAGTACTAATAATGCCCAGCCACTAGTTACCCCTGAATTGCCCCTCCTAACCGCCTTCCAAATCCAACAGATACCTCCAGGTATTCATGTCCCGGTCGATCTTGGTCGATCTCCCGCAGATCCCCCCATGTTGGTTTTCGATCTGGATGGACTTTAGTTCGTCGGCTGGAGCCTTAGCGCCGGTCACTCCTTTCCCCATGTTTTCCGGCTGCCTTTTGGCCTTCACGTTCTCTAGTGAAAGAATTCACCTCTTTGCCGTCCCCGGCGTTCATCGGGACGGCGAACCGGTGAGCGTATTCGATGTTCATCACATCCGTGTGACCATCACACCCCTCTACTCCCGTGTCGACAACGAATCAAACCATGACATGTTTTATATCTCAGCTGGCTTCAAGCAGCGGTGAGTGTGATGCCTCGTGGTCCATACACGTTGATGGTAGCAATCTCCGCAGATCCGCCGACTTGGGACTGGCTAGCTACGAGCCAAGAGAGCATGATAGTTGCGACATCATGTTTATCTACGCAGGTCTGGTTCCATCAGAGATAGATGGATCTATTGGTGGCGCACTCGACGCTGGGTAAATTGCGGCGACTCCCACGGCTGCCGGCCTTCCTTCTCCCTGCAGATATCGCCCTCAATAGACCTCCGGGTACCAAACTGAACGTCCACTCACCGCTCGTCCTGTGTCTCGATTCCGTCTTCACCTGCTAAAGTCTTGTTTTGTTCGCACAGCCAACAGTGGCGTGTTCCAAACGTCAGCTGGCCCTAGTAGCGGTGACGATGTAGTTTAGTTGGCAGCAAGTTGTTGGTCAATAATGAAAAGTAATCATGCCGAATAACCCTCATCTGGTGTTCGGGGTTGGACGCCCAGTTCTCGTGGCCAACCTCAGGGACGCCCCGCTGTCGGATGATCCAGCTTGGCCCAAAGTGTGCTGGGTCAAGCAGTAATGTGACAATTCTATGAAACACGCATTCTTCCGAGGTACATACCTACATGATTACCCACGCCGTGCTGATGTTGCCGAGGATGGACCGTGTATGCAGTTCCTGTGGGCCAGCTGAATTGACCTCGAGAGTTTGGTGGTCTGAACAATGTCTTGCATATCGATCGATCATTGCACGATGTGGCTCGAGTTCAGCTGCTCACCAAGAGCCTTGGCAGCCACTCCTTTCCCTAAATTTCCGCGGCCTAGCAAGCTGGCTCGCGCCTGGCTAGGTTCAACCAGCGGTCGGCGTAGATCTTAGCTGTTAAATCCGGCACTAATGAGAGGGATTTCCACCGATCACTCTTCTTAGGGCCAAGGCTAGGGTTTCTGCCAGCATCACTATCGTGGGCGATCGGAAGATCCTCACCCACGGATGTCGGCCCTGGAAAACGCGCAAAGAATGAGATGCTAGAGAATGCTATAAAGTACCTAGTGTCAGAATATCGGGGTGGAGGCTTCGGATATGAAGAAAACGGGGCATGTTTAGCTTAACCATCACTTCTCATTTCGACGGGTAAAAACCCCAAGGGGACCCACATGTCGGAGTCTGAACGAGGAGACACAAAAAAACAATAAAACGGACGCGGAACAAGCGCGGACAACAACCATACTTGATTGCCTGATTGGACCAGTGAATCCCGTATTCTGACAATTAAGAGTCTCATCCCGCTCTACAATACCAATTGAGCTTCCTCTGAATACGGCTATCTTACCTCTGAGAGCAATACCGCGCTTTCGACACTCCAGAGCCCGATCGATTCACCGACAACTCCGGAAGACATCATGACGACCGATCAGACAAAAAGTCAGTCTCGATTCGTCTATCTAGACGGCCCCGGCGACTGGGAAGTCTGGGAACAAGACTTCTTGAGCAAAGTCAAGCTCCAACGCGTCTGGGACCAAGTCCAGGGAACGAAGCCCCTGAGGAAAGAACCGATATGCCCGGAACCCGATCAGGGCTACGCAACCCGAGCGAACGCGGCCCGAGGCGCGCAATCCGCGACAGACTCGACAATCACCGTAGCTTCAGGCTCTCGACCGATATCCGTGGCGGATCTCACCGACGGCGGCCGCACTCGATTCAACGAAGACATGGCAACCTACATCCGTCTGGAAACCCTCTACGTGCAAGAAGCGAAGGCCATGGCAGAAATCGGCGAGTTCGTCATCAAGACCGTCAACCCGAAGTATCGACGGACCTGCTGCAAAGCAGATGACTCGATCTCCCAGTGGTACATCAACCTGAAGAAAGAGGTGGGAGCCACAACCGAATGGGGATACAACAAAGCCAGCAACGATTACCACGAAGCCCTCAAGCCATTAGCGAAAATCAAGGACTATGAGACCTTCATCGACAAATGGGAAACGGCATTTTCCGTCGCCAACGACAAGGGAGTCGCCGAGACGCTCAACTACCTCTCGTGGTCGCGGGATTTTTTCCGATCCATCAAGAACGTTCCAGAGGCTGTCGCGTGGGGAATATCATACCGTCAAACCAAAGGGCAAGACTTCCAAGAAGGGAAGCTCACGTATCGTGACTTTGCGGTGGACTTTCGCAACGAGATGGGCCTGGTCGCGCCCACAACAATGCACAAAAAGATTGGGAGAGGTGCATTTGGACCTACCTACGCGGATCAGGAGGCCAACGACCAAAACGCAGAAGGCGCATCCAGAGGGCGGGGAGGACGCACCCGTTCAGGCAAGAAACGCACGCGAGACAACCGATCGTTTTCGTCGAAGTGCATGCTCTGTGACGTCCCGGGACACAAGATCGAGGAGTGTTTCTTTCTGTCCCAACAAGCCCCAACCTGGTTTAGTCTCGATTGCTCAACGGTATGAGAAAAGATAGCAGGGGTGAATCTCGCATTGAAGAAGATGTGAACATCAAGAGGATTGTTCAAGGCATGAGGGGCAAGCGCCCTAGGACAGGAACCAGATCGGGAAGTAGCCGATCAGCGTCCGAAAGTCTCACCAAACAAGAAGGGACACCGGTTATCGAGGATTGACTCGCCGGCCGGAGAGTGGGATCCATTGAGGAGGCATCGTTCATAGCCATCAAGGCATCGTTCTCAACCAGATCCACATATCCCTTGCTCCTATCGGCAATTCTGGACTCAGGGACTACCATCCACATCTTCAACCAAGAGGAGAGGTTCTTCAATAAAAGACCAGCGCTTCCTGACGACTATATCGTGGCAGGAGACTCCCGATTAGCCGTCAGGGGATACGGAGACGTAACCATCCAGTTGGGGACCACGCGGAAGGTCATGAGACTTCGAGACGTGGCATTCATCCCTAGCATTCAGTGCAACTTGGTCTCCTTGCGTCTCATCAGACGGCAGGGATTTTACTGGGACAACCGAAATGACCCAACCCTCCTCAGGAGAAGAGTAGACAACTCTGTGGTGTGTCGACTCCGGGACCTACACGGGCAGTACGTCATCGAATACAACGACGCCAATTCCAACCATGCATCTTTTGCAACCCGATCAGCACGCTGGACGAACTGGAAACGACCATCAGTCACAGCAGAAGCCCAGAAATGGCACCTCCGATACGGGCATCCAGGACCAGAGGCCTTAGCCCGACTGCAGCGGACAGCTCAGGGGGTGAAGATCAGAGGGCCAACCACAGTCCAGTGCGAGGCATGCGCCAAGAGCAAGATCAAGCGACAGATCAGCCGTCGTCCACGCCAATTTACCCAAGGGGTAGGCGAGAGACTAGCCGTCGATTTCCACGAATACACCCAAGGATACGAAGGATTCAAGCACCTGATGCTGGTCACCGATCGCTGGTCTGGACTGGTCTGGGATTTCTACCTCACCGATCGGAAGGGGAAGACACTTGTGGAAGCCTTTGACGGACTCTGGATCTACCTGGACACGCAGTACAGGATTCGCCCCGCGGTCATCGAGACCGACAACGAAGTCATGAAACATGACGGGATCATTTCATGGGCAGCCGAGAAAGGTATCCGTTTCGAGCCCTCAGCACCGTACACTCAAGCACAGAACGGCGGCGCAGAGCGCTCAGGGGGTGTGATCAAAGAAAAGGCGAGAGCGATCCGAGAGTCAGCAAAATTTCCAGAGTTCCTTTGGCCAGAAATCGTCAAAGCAGCAGTCTATCTTCATAATCGCACTCCGACGCTGATCAACCATTGGAAATCACCATACGAGCGATTCCACACACAGATCGGAACCCACGCGGGAGGATTCGCCCAGGCAAGGAAGCCTGAAGGCACGCATCTGAAAGCGTACGGATGCAAGGCATACGCCATGACGGCGAAAGCACAAGAGAAGAAGGATCGAATCAGGAGATTCAACCCCAAGGCTTGGGTAGGATATTTGATCGGATATCAATCGTCCAACATCTATCGAGTATGGGTTCCCTCGCTCAACCGCGTCATCAGCACCAGGGACGTGATCTTCAACGAAGACGAGTTCTTCAGCGGCAACGTGGAACAACTGCGAGACGACTTGCGGATCCTCAACGAAGAGGACCTGAAGAAGGCCTTGGACACTGCCGAATTACCCGAACCCGACCTAGAGGACGAGCCAACAGGCCGATCAGGAGAAGACGAGGAAGTGATGGACATGGGAGATCCTCTGGATCCAGTGGAAGACTCAAGCTCAGAGTCGAAGCTCACCTCTACACGATTCGAGCCTCTCCCTACTCCGCCTCAGTCCCCTCCAGCAGCGTTCTTCACCACCATGTACGAGAAAACGTCATATGACGAGCCCCAGGACCAGGAGTCAACCTACAATGCTTGGCAGGGTGTTGAAGCCTACAATGTCTCGAGGCAAGAAGGCCCGAGGCAGGCGACTTTCCCCTACAATGTCAAGCAGGTTGCAGCGGCCTACAATGCCAGTCAGGTTGAAGTAACCTACAATGACACCCAGCAGGCTACCCCGTGGGAGCAGGCCTACAATGCTGGAAGGCAGACCGCTGATCCGAAGTCCGCGAGGGGAGAAGCGTATCAAGCGCGCAGACGTCGGCTTAGACCGATGCGATCCGGTTACACGGACGCAAACAAAGGGACGATCCTCGAGCGACTGAAGGCTCTACAAAGGACTCACAGATCAGAACTGCCAGTACCCCCAAAGAACGGGAGAGTGCAGGATCACCCCTTAAAGGAACTGTTCCATCAAGCGGAACTCGATCACCTGAAGAGCCATGACCAGATGCAGTCCTGGAGAGAAGTTCCCAGGACTGTGGCCCAAGGCAAACAGATCCTTGGTTGCATGTGGGTATACGTCTACAAGACGGACAAGCACGGTTACTTTGTGAAGTGCAAGGCTCGTCTGGTCGTGAGAGGAGACCAGCAGCGGTGGTCAGCAGGCGAAGAGACCTATGCCGCGACACTGGCTGGCCGATCGTTTAAAACTCTGATGAGCATTGCTGCCCGCTTTGATCTAGAACTGACTCAATATGACGCAGTCAACGCGTTTCGTTAACGCGAAGCTCCCGTACGAAGTGTACATGGAGATGCCACGAGGTCACCGAAAAGGGCGATACGATCCTTGAAACTCCGAGAAGGCCCTCTTATGGATTTGAGAAATATCTACCCCCTCCTATGGCAAAAGGAACCTGACAACCACCCCATGATCGAACTGGGAATTTGATTCAGATCTCCTCATCGAGCCCCTGCTGTTTCAAGAAGGACGGCATCCTTGTGTTCTTTTACGTCGATGACATAGTCTTCGCGTTCCGCAAAGAAAAGAGACTCCTAGAAAAGGTTCTCGCCGCGAAGCTGGGTCAGCGATACGAACTCTCAGGGGGTGGGGGACTTCAATGGTTCCTCGGGATCGAAGTGATCAGAGACCGGACAAAACGTTTGATCAGGCTCTCTCAGACGGCGTATATCGACAAGATCAGCAAGCTGATTCGAGGACCGGCGAAAAGCGAGGTGCCAATGGGCCGAAACGAACTCCTACCATACGATGGTGTGACTACCGCCTCCGATCTGAACTGGTACCAGAGAACGATCGGATCGATCCTGTTTGCCGCCGTACAGACAAGGGCCGATATCTCTTTTGCAACATCAAGACTGGCTCGATTTCTCAACAACCCGGGGCCACAGCACTGCCAAGCTGCCGATCAGGTCCTAACTTACCTCAAGAGGACGCGAAACTACGCCCTTCAACTTGGAGGAGCAGACACGCTTGACATTGCCAGTGACGCCTCATTTGCTGACAATTCGCTTGACCGGAAGAGCTCCCAGGGACTGGCCATGAAACTATTTGGAGGTCTGATCGCATGGAGGGCTAACAAGCAAGATACGGTCACCACGTCAATCCACGGAGGCCGAACTCCTTTCCCTTTCGCAAGCAGCCAAGGAAGCACTCTTCATCGACAGGCTTCTCAAAGAGCTGACAGTCGCTCTCGAAGACAACTACCTCAGGAGGCAATGCTGCATCAGCCAGACGACGCGACTGCTGGACCTACCGCTCATCCACAGCCTTCAGGGTGCGCCAGCGGTCGCCACGTGGACCTGCAGCATCCACTTGACCTAGCTCGGCTTCGGGAAGCCTGCAACAAGGCGGTCATGGATCACTCGAGTCTGCGTACACGCCTTCAGACAAGATGATTGCCGACGGCTTTCACGAAGGCGCTGCAGAGGGAGAAGTGGCAAGGGTTTCTAGACTGTCTGAGCATTGTGGAGGTGGAAGATCATTTACGAAGGCCACCAGCCGCCAGATCAGAAGAGCCGGAACCCCGTTCAAAGTAACTGCAGCCTTGCCAGAAAGGCAACGCTGAGGGGGTGTGTCAGAATATCGGGGTGGAGGCTTCGGATATGAAGAAAACGGGGCATGTTTAGCTTAACCATCACTTCTCATTTCGACGGGTAAAAACCCCAAGGGGACCCACATGTCGGAGTCTGAACGAGGACACACAAAAAAACAATAAAACGGACGCGGAACAAGCGCGGACAACAACCATACTTGATTGCCTGATTGGACCAGTGAATCCCGTATTCTGACACCTAGACAGTTGAGCCTTTCCTTTGCAATCTGCTCAGTGCTCAACATCTTCCATCCACACAAACTCGCCTCACCAACAACCCGAACCGCCCCAAACCGCCAGTCAACATGCAGCTTTCGTCACTTTTCCTGGCAGCTACTGCCCTGCTCACCCAAGCGGCATCGGCTGATTTTCTCCTCTTTCCATCGAATCTGGCGCTGTCAGCGTATGGCCCCGCCAGAATTGAACGAAGCGAACTTCCGGGCGATTACCAACGGTTGGCGCCCGTCGGGTTCACCTTGGATCCGAGCAACCCCCCGGCCCAGATCCCCCTGGATGACGAGGGCGATATTGGACGCGGGTTTTTGCTGCGACCAGTCTGGGGAGGCAAATGGGCTTTGCTCGCCAAAAACGACCCCTCCATTACACCTATGGTACTTCCCCTGTCCCGTCGGTGCCGGCATTGTTGATTTCGTTAACCATTTCCCAAACAGGAGGACGACATCACGGTGCCGTTTGCCATCGAGGATGGCTGGTTCGTCTACAAGGGGGATTTCCCGGCCGAATGGGTCACCTGCAAAGAAGGACGTGATAGATTTAGTACCATCAACATCTATCTAGTTCTTCAGGGGTCTGAACTCACCCCGGACTGCCAGCCAACCAAGCTCGGTGCCATCGAAGTCCAGTAATTTCGTATGTGGGACGTGGACACCGTTGGGGAATCCAGGAGTAGTTAGCAGGGCACTTGTTAGAGAATGCGAGCTGTGAACATCGTGCTGGTTAGGTGGTTGATCCAAGTTCGTTGCCTCTTAATAGTTCTCGGGTACTGTGGACAAAATCGACTTTCTCTATTATCATGTCCCCAATGAGCGAGTTAGTAGTTGTATTGTGTGTATGCACATATGATTTGTTTCCATGTGCCCGTTGCATACCCGAAACGAGTCAGACTGAATCAGTACCTAGGCGATAAGCAGTTTCCTTCACAAGCTGTAACGGCAATAACGCTGAATGATACCATGTTTCTATGCTCATTATGTCAGTGGCGAGAGGACACCCAATTCACGTTTTACTTACTATATTAATCTTCTTCACGTCTTTTGAGGCAGCTGGTTGAAGATCCCGTCTTTCCAGATGCCAGGTGCGGCGCGCGGCGCTTCAGACGTCATTGACGTCATGAGAGGCGATTCGGGGTCCCCAGGAGTGGGATATCGCCGGCCCCAGCGCAAAAGGGTGAAAACGGCGAGGGCGATGGAATCAATGCAAGAAGAAAACGATATGGACTGGGAGGAGGAAAACAGCAGTGAGAGAATGCTGAGAAACCACAAAAACCGCTCAATTCGGGCCGCAGCGGCCGAGAGAGCAAGGGAGGGAATCCAGGGCCAAGAGCAAACTGCGGACTGCAACTTCGAAAACAAATTGAACACTATCAAAACGGAATTTCAGCTTCAATTCGAAAAGCTCAGGGATCACATGGTAGAAGAAATGGCCAAAATGACGGCCCGGTTGACCGAAGAACTGTCGCAAGCGCGAGAGCAACTCACCCAAGCCCGCCGCGAGCTCGAGGACACCAGACTGCAGCTCCACGCCATGAACCAGGCTCAGGAAGCCCCTCTTGCTCGGCCGGCGTATGCGGATGTCGCCCGATGTACACCTCCTACCAGCGGTCCTAGTCTGGCATCCTCCGCAAGCCGGACGGCTACGCCAGAGCCAGCGTTCTGCACGGTAGACATGACCAGGGTACCGGAGGAACACATCGAAGAGGCTACACCAGTGGCTCTTCGCAAACTCATCGAGAACGAGATGCGAGCGCCGGGAGACCAACCCAAATGGCGTTGTCTTGCCGTTACCAGAGACAGAGGAAACATCAACCGCCTTAGGATCGTTGGCAGGAACGAAGCGGAAGTAAAGAGAATCAAGGACATCATCGAAGCGAAGAAGGCGCCGGGTGCACACGTCCTACGTGACCTAGCTGTACCCAGTCAAAGTTGACAACGTCAACCGTACGGCCGTTCTCGACCCTGAAGGCAAAGTACTCCCCGGAGCGGCGGAAACCCTGGGCCGAGAGAACGACGTGCAGATCGCCAAGTTGGCTTGGTTGAGCCGGAAGGACACTGCGAAAGCGTATGGATCGATGGTGGTATATATCACCAAAGCCGGGCGATGCTAAAGAGGCTCATCAATGAGGGGTTTCTTCCACGCGAGAGGCGAATCGGGATACACGGGAAATCTTCGAACGTCGGGCGCGGCCTGAACCAAATGCTAACAACTGCCAGCAGATTGGCCACAAAGCTTTCCAGTGCAGGAACCCTCAAGTGTGTGGAATGTGCGCTAGTGAGGGCCACCCGTCACAGCGAGTGCTCAGCAGCTATACCGAAGTGCGTTCTGTGCGGAGGACCACATGAATCGTTCAGCAAGAATTGCCGGAAGCTCTATCCATCTCGTCATGAATAGGACGTTTCAGGTCATCCAATTGAACGTCAGAAAGCAAGGGGAGGTGCATGATAGTTTGATGAACGACGTGGCAATCCAGGACGCTGCCGTCATAGCCATTCAGGAACCCCAGGCGCGGAGGATCCAAGGACGGCTCCTGACGACCCCTATGGAGCATCACAAATGGACCAAGATGATCCCGTGCACGTTGAAGGAAGGTAGATGGGCTATCCGGAGCATGCTCTGGGTGAACAAAATCGTGGAAGCCGAGCAGGTGGCAGTGGACTCCCCGGACATCACGGCAGCAGTCATACGGCTCCCGGAGCGCGTAGTCCTGGTCGCGTCCGTCTACGTACCGTGTGGGGACGGCGAGGCACTAAAAGACACCTGCGAGAACCTCCGCAGGGTGGTAGCAAAGGCGAAACGGGGCGTAGGAACGACTGTCGATATAGTGGTTGCAGGTGATTTCAACTGCCACGACCAAATGTGGGGAGGGAGACGACGTCTCATCCGTGAGACAAGGGGAAGCCGACCCCATCATCGACCTCATGAACGAGCTGACTCTAAGCACTCTACTCCCAAGGGGCACAATAACATGGCAAGCAGGTGGATACGGTTCGACTATCGACCTGGTCCTGGCCTCGGAGGAACTGGCAGAAGCCGTGATCAGATGTGGAGTCCATAGAACGGAACACGGTTCAGATCACCGCGCGATTGAAACAGTCTTCGATATTGAGGTACCTGTGCCGACGCACCACGACCGACTGCTTCTCAAGAACGCGCCATGGAAAGACATCAGAGCCAAAATTGCAAATACACTAGGGGACACCCCAGCGGAGGGGACAGTCCAGCAGAGAACGGACCGCCTGATGTCCACTGTCTCAGGCGCGGTTCATTCCCTCACTCCCAAAGCCCGGCCATCGCCATACGCAAAGCGATGGTGGACTACGGACCTGACGCAGCTACGTCACATCTACACGCACTGGAGGAACCGCGCTCGCTCGGAACGCCGGGCAGGTTGGACCACAGCCGAGATTGAGGAATTGGCAAAGGGTGCAGCAAAACAGTACCACGATGCCATCCGGCAGCAGAAGAAGAAGCACTGGGCCGAGTTCCTTGCAGACAACGACAACATTTGGAAGGCTGCAAAGTATCTAAAATCCGGAGATGATACCACGTTTGGAAGGATCCCGCTAACTTGTTAGAGCAGATGGTACATCCACGGCCGATCATAGAGAACAGGCCGAAGAGCTCCTAACAAGATTCTTCCCGGCCTTGCCCGATACGATCGACGATGAAGGTCCAAGACCACAGAGGGCACCCATCATGACGCCTATCCTTACGATGGAGGAAGTCGAACGACAGCTGTTCGCAACGAAGTCCTGGAAGGCACCAGGGGAGGACGGTTTGCCGGCAGTGGTGTGGAAGGAAGTCTGGCAGGTGGTCAAGCACCATGTACTGGCGCTCTTCCGTGCCTCACTGGAGGACGGGGCCCTTCCCAGCCAGTGGCGACATGCTAATATCATCCCGCTCAAGAAACCGGGCAAAAAGGACTACACCATCGCAAAGGCGTGGAGACCAATCTCCCTCCTAGCAACGCTGGGCAAAGTGCTGGAGTCGGTGATCGCGGAACGGCTGTCCCACGCCGTGGAGACCTACGGCCTCCTGCCCACCAACCACTTCGGCGCGCGGAAGCAGCGATCAGCAGAGCAGGCGCTGGTATTTCTACAGGAGCAGATCTACACGGCCTGGAGAGGACGGAAGATTGTCAGCCTCATTAGCTTCGATGTCAAGGGAGCCTATAACGGAGTCTGCAAGGAACGGCTAGTCCAGAGGATGAGGGCACGTGGTATCCCGGAAGAGCTGTGCCGATGGACAGAAGCTTTCTGTTCTGACCGTACGGCCTCTATCCAGGTCAACGGGCATGCTGCGGAACGACGGGACCTCCCACAGGCTGGCCTGCCCCAAGGCTCGCCCCTCTCCCCTATCTTGTTCCTCTTTTTCAACGCGGATCTGGTCCAGCGAAAGATCGATAGCAACGGTGGTGCGATAGCCTTTGTCGATGACTTTACCGCCTGGGTCACAGGACCGACGGCACAAAGCACACGCAAGGGCATCGAAGCAATCATCGACCAAGCACTAGACTGGGAAAAGAGAAGCGGAGCGACATTTGAAGCAGACAAGACAGCCGTCATCCACTTTACCCGCAAGGCCTATAAAGCCAACTCGGAGCCCTTTACGATCAAGGGTCAAGATGTTCAGCCGAAAGACCACGTTAAGATCCTTGGAGTGGTCATGGATGCCAAGCTCAGGTATAAGGAGCATATCGCAAGAGCGGCCTCCAAAGGGCTCAGCGCGGCGATGGAGCTGAAACGGCTCAGTGGTCTATCCCCGGCTACGGCGCGGCAGCTGTTCACCGCCATGGTCGCGCCAGTGGTGGACTACGCATCCAGCGTCTGGATGCACCAATGCAATTGGAAGACCGCGCCGGCCATACACAGGGTGCAGAGGGTCGCGGCGCAAGGGATCATAGGAACGTTCAGCACGGTAGCAACACGCGTAGCAGAAGCAGAAGCTCACATCCCCACGGCTCAAGATCGATTCTGGAAGAGGGCGATCAAGATGTGGACGGACATCCACACCCTACCAGAGACGAATCCACTCCGCAACACCACTTCCCGGATGCGCAAGTTCCGGAGATCCTACCGCTCCGCTTTCTTTCAAGTAGCAGATCTCCTCAAGGACGTCCCATTGGGACTAGCCTCGAAACCATTGCTGCCGTCGTATAAGCGCTCTGGGGAGAGGCGAGGTCCCGCACTACGGTTGACAGAACGGGCATCCAGCAAAAAGAGACAGGAGTGGGGCGGTCCGGATCGCCGTAAGCAGCTCCCGCACGAAACAACATGGGTCGGGGATCGGAGGAGTCGTCCGTCTTCCCGCTGCCGATGCGAGATGGCTCCAAGGAACGAAGCCTTTAGTGTGACGCTGGGCTCCAGGTCGGAGCAAAACCCGTTCTCAGGCGAGCTTGCGGCTATTGGGTACGCGTTGAGGTTGATTCGAAATATCAGGTACCGAAAGATCATCCTTGCCACCAGCAACAAGGCAGCCGTGATGGCCTTGGAGCGACCACACCAGCAATCAGGACAACAATATCTCTGTCAGGCGTACGATGCGATAAGTGCCTTACGCAAGGCGGGAAACACGATCTCGGTCGTCTGGATCCAAGCGGGTACCAAAAACGAGCTCCTGAACACAGCCAAAGCGAAAGCAAAGGAAGCAACACGGCAGGACGCTACGCCACAAACGCAGGATCCTGCCATGCGGTCAACAGCCCTCCGTATCGCATGGGCAAAGCGGGCACCGCCCACGTCCTTACCTGACAAAGTGGGCAGACATTCCAAGAGAGTCGATATAGCGTTACCAGGGAAGCACACCCAACTATTATACGACCACCTGTCCCGAAGCGAGGCCGGCGTGCTTGCTCAGCTTAGAACAGGCATGGCCAAGCTCAACACATACCTGCATCGCATCAAAGCAGCACCGTCAGACCAGTGTACGTGTGGACAAGCCAGAGAGACAGTGGACCACTTCCTCTTCCGATGCAAGCAATGGGATCAACACCGTAGGGAGATGCTGCAATGTACGGATGTCCACAGGGGGAACCTCTCCTTCTACCTGGGAGGAAAGTCGCCCTCGGATGACAAGGACTGGTCCCCCAACATGCGGGCGGTGCGGGCGACGATACGTTTTGCCATTGCCACAGGTCGTCTGAGGACTGAACAACAACAGAATGAAGCAAACTAACCTCACCATCCTAAACCCCGACTAACAACCCCCTTCATCTCGTGTCACACGGAGTAAGCGCGCTTCAGCCGCCGAAGATAGGACGTTGGACACTTGGAGACTAGCCTTCAAGCCAGCTTACTATTCGTACAACTAACCCACGAGCATCCGCAGCAGAGAGGGCAAAATTGTAAGGAGATAAACCAGAAAAGGAGGATGTACGGGCTTCATGAGATCAGGATCCATTTTAGGATATGTATTAGTAGATTGTATGATAGTTGCCCTTTCGGGTTAGGCCCGCCGGGCGGAATAAATTGTGTGTGTGTGTGTGTGTGTGTATGTCAGTGGCTCCAACATATTGTGTTTTAGACGGTCCGTCCCTCTCTTCCATGACTCTGACCTTTGGACCCGGGAACAGTCCCTCCCGCGATTGGTCCGTCTTACGCTGGAGGAACATGGCCCCTGCAGCAAGCGCAAGATTGAGCACGTTATTTACACCCAGAAGCACCACCGAATTGGGCAACCCCCAGGAAGGCCAAGCACTCGTGACGTTTCCTTCTTCTCTGGAGAGATGGACGGATGTAACTCTAGCCTCAATCACGAGATGGCATGGATTCTCCTCAGCTGCATAAAGCATGCTACGCCCGGGACATCTGGATCGTTGTGTCCGCTCTCATGCTTGGGGACGCAGTTCACAAACCCAGACAACACTCATCGTCAATTACCACTAACTTTAACGCTGACAAGATGCACAGTCCGCTTCGGTCTTTGTTGTTGATATTAGCATTCTGCTCCATCGGGTTGGTGCTAGGGAATAGCGCAACGGAGCACGAGCTCAATAGACGCCGGACCCTATCCGTGGGGATTGTCAGTGTCCTTCCATTCAAAGATCTCTCGGTCTCCTGTCTGACTTGTTAGGTCATCTACCCCGGCTGGGAACCTTTGGATGTCTTTGGTCCCTTACAACTGTTGTTCTCGGTAAACTGAAAACCGCCCGCTGGCCCCGTAAACGGTTCTTGGACTTTGTGCTGAAAGATGGCCTGATAGATGTCTGCCCGCTACAAAATAACGCTTTCGATAATAGCCAAGGAGCCTGGCCCCGTCACCGCCGCCTACCCGCCTCACATGATGGTGCCGGCAATGCCAGGAGGACCGGTCATGGACCTCGGCTATATGCTCCAGCCCAAGTTGGTAGCCACACACAGCTTTAGCGACGCCCCGGCTCTCGATGTTCTGCTCGTCCCCGGAGGTTTCGGCCCCGTCACGCTCGAGCAGAACAATGACACCTCCATCGAGACGTTCTTGCGCCGCCGATTTGATCAACTTGAATACCTCCTCAGCGTCTGCACGGGTAGCGCAATCCTTGCGTCCTCCGGTCTCCTTAATGGGCACCGTGCCACGAGCAACAAGGCTCTATGGTCATGGGTGACGACGCACGGCGAGAATGTCACTTGGGTGCCGAGCGCTCGGTGGACAGAGGATGGCAAGATCTGGACGAGTTCGGGGGTAGCATCGGGTGAGATGTTCCCCAGTTTGTGGCGTGGCTTGGGCTGCGGCAACGGCTAACAGATGCGGCAGGTATCGACATGATGTATGCGTTTCTGAAGCATCTGTATGGGGAGGACGACCCGAACCTTGTTGCGACCATGAACGCCATCGAGTACACCCCGCATACGGATCCGCACTGGGATCCCTTTTCTATCGTACATGACGTACGTAAACTCCACCCTTTTCTCCGTTGATAACAACCACGCTAAAAGATTAGGTCCCCGGGCATGCCAACGGTAACTTGGAGAGCTGTGTCAAGCCGGTTGGGACTCACTCCCGGGATGATTAGGCCCAATGCCTTTGTGTTCGTTTGCCCCCTCACGGGTCCGCGTTAGCATATTTAAGACAGCTGCTCTTTCTAGTGTACGTTGCGTTTGTACATGAGTTATCTAGCTATGATAGATCAATACCTTGTCTATTTCAAGGATCCACGTCGAGAATATACATGGCGTACGATGGCAATAATGCAGAAGCAATTATTGTGGACGATGAATCGGTAGGAAATGGTGATACTGGCCGAATACATTCTCTGCGACTTACATTTAAACCCCATCAACCATCACAATAACCACCCCCCCTCCCCCCACCTCCCCCCACGCCTCTATCCAACATTGTTCGGACTACACCACAATGGTTCCGTAGTCCTCAGAGAATTGGAGACCTCCATGAAAAACCACGACCCGTTCTCCAACGGCAAGTGCAACAACATCACGGCTCCTCGCGACCCCCGTGACAATCCGGGCGGGGGGGATAACAACTGTGCAGCGCAGCTCCCCAGAAAGGGTACGCCACTCGCTTAATGCAAAGAAATGGCGTTGCACAGGCGATTTCCTTTCTACTGCCGTTGACCCTGCCCTCTTGTTGAACCCTGAAATCTCTACGGCCTCCGTCGCCTCGTGCCCTAGGTTTACACTGCAGACCCAAAGCTCAACGTCTAAAAACAGAACCCTTGCCGGCCGCACGATGCCTAGCACGGCAATGGCAGTTGGGCTGACGGACTCCAGAAGCGGCTCAACAGTGGGTCGCGCCACAGCCAAGTCGGAGAACCGGTCCAAGGCGGTCGACGGCCATAGGTATAGACGCGGCGGCGCAAGGGTTGTTTCTCGGAAGAGCTCGACCACGAAATCGCGTCCGAGGTGGTAGGATGATCTCGAGACAGCCGAAAACTGCTGCTGCTTGAATGTTTTGTCAAAGCCTGATGACGGTTGCGATGGGTCTCTTGCGAGCAAGATACCTTGGCTTTTTGTCATCTCGGAGAAGTCGGCCCAGGCGTAGATTCGTACGACATCCCCAGAGACTAGGATAAACCAACCGAGATTAGTCGGGTGGCAAAACGAGTAGCGAGAGACGAGCTTCGTTTCATTGCCTGCAGGACTCGATCCAGCACCGCTCATTCCTGGCAACGCGTTTGCCGGATGCGTATCCTCCGTTGTGGTAGCATTGGGACGAACTACTCCCCCGGAAGGGAGTTCCCAGAGCTCAGCAGCACAGCGGCCATTGACTAGGACACGATCTCCAGCCGCATTAACAGTCAGGGACGAAACGGCGCCGTCAAAGACACGGTCCCATAGGATCAAAGTTCCGTTTGGCTCGGAAGTTGACCCGAGTCGGCTCAAAGCTGCTGCCGTTTCCGCCAGTACCACACGGCCAGCGTCGTTGGCTGAGATTAACAGGTTACGCGATTCCACAAGCACAACACAGACAACGGATGAGTTGCCGGTGTGCTGGTATAAGATGAGGATCTCCCTGGCGTCCACGGCTGAGAACAGAACAACATCACCGTTGCTTTTACCAGCCACGATCACACTTCCATCATTGGAAGCCACAAGAGGACTGGTGATCTTTAATTTGGTGACAGAGTTGGGAATGTCGGGTGCCCTCGGTAACTCAGGAAGCGTCAGCCGCGTGACAACGTTGCGGTCATGGTCCTCGACCCCTTCAACACTCCTTCTCACCAACCCGATAGGTGCCCAGACGCGCGCTTGTCGGTTCCGTATATCAACAAAACGCAGCCCATCCGCACTGAGCGCAATACTGCGTATCGTGTCGTCCAATGGGTGGCTGGAACGGTAAACCAGTGTTAGCATGGCCCTCCCCGCGGCGCAATCCAAGTCCAAGTCGAAGACCTCGATGGCCCCTTGGGCATTTCCTATGACAACTCTTTGGTTGTCGGGCGAGCAGGCAATGGCAGTGGCGTAGGTGCGGCGTCGTCGGACGAGCATCTCCATCGTGTTGTAGTCAAACAGACAAAGGTCGCCCGGTTGGTATGCCACCAACAGCATTGAAATGTCGAGGTTGGGGTGAAAGACCATGCAATCAAGGCCAGCGGTGGGGATCATTTCTTGGCCCACTGTTCCCAGGACCTGCACCTCAAGGGCATCCCAAATAAATATTGGCACGTCTTGATAACCAAGGGCAAGAAGAGTCCCATCGGCGGTATTGAGAAAGGCAGCGCGGTTCGGTCGTGAAAGGGGAGGCTTAGGTTGGGATTCTGGAAAGTGATTGTGATCCTCCGTATGATTGTATACATGTAGTTCGAGGTTGACCCATGAGATGGACTCGTGTTCCCCTGTGTCCAAAGACCTGAAGAGGTCATACCCAAGGCGTTAGCAAAACAGGCAACTACCAGAGGAGTGGGGGGGGATGGGTGTTGTGCCCTCGTGAACGCGACGTACCATTTCGTTAACTCACAGCGCTCGGAAGCACACAGGATTTCTTGGGCGCCGAGCAAGATGACAGCTGATGGACATGACCGTAACGAGAACGAGTAAAGAATTGTGCCGACTTTTATATCCCACACAACCAGGTGCTTTGCGCTACAAGAGGCCAGAAGTCCATGATGCCAAAACCCTTCCAGAAGCCGAACGCCCTCTGGGTGCTGGAGTTGCTGCTCAACCTGCAGGGGAGATACGTGGTACAGAAAGATATCGCCAGTAGACAGCCCAACGGCGATATGGCCCTCCCCGTACCGTACCGCCAAAGGACGCCCTTGTGGGAAATCCATCCGAGCGACACAATCGTCCCATGAACTGGGTGGAAGACCCTTAATCTCATACCGTCGCGATAACAATGAACGTGGAGCTTTGCAAAAGTTCCGAGATATCATTGAATCCGGTGGGCAAAGGCGCGGGATGAGGCGGTGGATTGCGGAAGGACAACGCAAGAGTTGTTCCCGAAACCTGGCGGCGATGTGCAGAATCTCCGTTAGCTGGCCTTGAAGAACCTGAGTGACCTCATCTGGGGTTGATAGATGGTTGAACCTGGTATTGAGGTATGCTCGCAAATTCATAGCGGTGCGAATGAGAGGTGCGAGGTTACCGTTAGTTGCAATATGCTGTATCCAAGAAAGCAAGCTATCGGACTGGAAGAAGGCGAACATGTCGTGCACCAACTGGTCGTCTTGTGTATTACCAAGGAAGATGTGTTCTGAAAAAAACCTCGATGCGTAGTCAAGTAGAGATGTGGTGATCGTCCAGGCAATGTCTGATGTCGTCCCAAATGTGGTTGAATGATGGTCTCTTGGCGTTGCTAAAGCCCCTGGGCCGAGATAAGACTTGGGGGTGTTACCCGCAATGTATTTAAGAAGTAAACTTCCAAGGCGTGTATGGCCGTTTGTCTGATCGATCGAAAGCGGACCCCCGGCATCCTGTGATGAGAGTAAGAACTCTCGGGCGGTTTCGTGTAGTATCTGGACGTTTGTAAACTCGTCAATGAAGAGAAGCTGCCCTGATAGTTCTGAGATTGCTTTCGCCGGCGTTCGGAGAGTCTGGTTGGTGTCCAGGCTAATGGCTGTTGTGAGCTCTTCCACTGTTAAGGGGCGGCAAGCTAGGACGACCCAAGTCAAAAGGGACTTTGCCAACATGGCGTTCCCTTTGTCCCTACCCAGAGACTTTACCATTAATGAGTACAGGTCGAATAGAGCGGCGGGGGTAGCATCTAGAACATCATCCATGGTTTCCTTGGTCCACGTCTCAGCAAGGTCTTGGAGAACGAGCCTCGTCCAAAGAAACGAGTCGCGGGATCTCTCCACGATCTTCTCACACAGGTATTGGCGTTCCTCGTCGCTTTCTAGTTGAGTCAACTTTGAAAGTGCGGCGGTTGCAAAAAGCCGTATGTCTTCGAGGGTGTCGATGTCTGACAACGTTTCCTTGATAACCCCAGTAGGCGAAATTGACTCTACGCCACGTTCAATCCCTTCCACGCCGCGGCTTGTGGCAAAAAGATGGATACCAGGTGGGAGGCTCGATAGAAGCCTCTTCTCAAAAAGTGCATTGAAGCCTGAGCATTCATTTATGCCATCCAGCACCCAGAAGTGTCGAACGACGGAGGGTATTTTGGAAATACAGTTCGTGAACAGTCTCTTCCAAACACTACTTTCGTCTTTCTCATCCCATGAGAACCCGTCCCGAGAGAGTTGGAGGATTGCTTCCTTCACACTGTCGTCCTGAATCGCCATTTGGAAAGCAAGAGATCGGAAGCAGTGGTGCAGGGTCGATGTCTCGCTTCTGTTATGTTTGAACATGAAGTAGCTGCACGTATACTTTGAGTCTCGTAGGTCCTCGACAACGTGACTCGCTAGGACGGATTTGCCAGCTCCTGGTCGTCCAAGAAGCCAAAAGATTCCAGGTGAAGCGCCACATTTCCACGAGGCAAATGTCGCCCTTTGGGTGAACCATTGACAAGACCCTGGTTGTTTTAGGTTTTGGAGGCTATCGATATCTTCTTCCGGAGCATCTTGGATCTCTAAGAATGCGGATAACCGCTCGCGGGCCTCTCGCGGGGACGAAGGGGGGTAATATTGTCCTAGCCCAGAACCTGGCGCCGCTCGAATTAAGCCAATGGCGGTTGCCAAAGCATTCCGAAGGAGTTTGTAATTTGGGTCGGCCGGGCTCTCGAACTTGCAAACCTGCCGGTGGTCCGCTGCCATGGCCGTAATCTCTTCCTTCGGATACCCTAGGGTCCCAGAGTGCTTGTCCACGATGATGCGACTGATAAACCCAGCACCCCTCATGGGTAAGGTTTCATAAAATGACCACAGCCGGAGCTCCGGGGCAAAGTGGCGGAATGTGTCGTTAATGGCCGATAGTACCGTTGAATTAGGAGTCAACTCCGTTACGAAGGGCTTTTTCCCCCACCTGACCGCCAGCATGTTCTCTAGGATCGCGGCCATGTTAGACCCACGGTGTGGTGTTGCGAGAAAGAACATGGAATGCATTCGACGAGCTATATCCGCTGTAGCCGGGTCCTGGCGTGCCAGTATGTATGCTTTTTTGGCCACGCACCCTCCCATACTGTGGCCAACGAGGATGATGCGCGTGTCGACCTGGAGAATGCCGGGGTGGTTGCGGATAGCGTCGATTAGAGACTGCCCAAAATCATGGATACCTAATACACTCTCCCGACGTTCGAGCCAGTCGCCCTTGTAACCAAAGACGTGGACACGCACACCCATGAAGTCCTTGTCCGCCGGCAACCATGATTGAGGCCAGTAGTGCTCGGGGTCGGAGGAATAACACCATGTTTTGCGACTGCCACCACCCAAGCCGTGAATAAAAACTATCTCGGCGCTTGTCTCCTCGGGCGATGGTGGTTCGTGAATAGTCGTCAAGCCGATTGCGCCTTTCAGTTCGTCTTTCTTGGGTTCAACAGAGGAGGAGGGGAGAGATGATGGACTGGTCGATCTCTCTGACCTTGTGCCCGTCGTGGGACGAGCCAACAGCGTCGAAAAGAGGTTCCTCCGCGGCTGCTCATCTGAGTTAGGTCACCATTCAACATAATTGATAACTTGGATTCCTCTTACCTGATCAACTTGTACCATGGCAATGTTCAATGGTCAAATTTAGACCGATTTGACGTTGTCGAACTTATCGAATCCAATCTTTCATTTGGTACCCCGGTTCCATCCTCGTGTCAAAATTGACTTCGTCCGCCCCAGTCGAGAGGCACAGGAGACCTGCAGGAAAGCGTGGGGCCTCACCCCGGTACTGGCGAGAGTTCATTGGTGGTTGGTGTTGCCTCCTGGGTGGCTCAGTTCCATAAGGCGACATCCGCGAATCCGGCCGGAGCCTGCTCAAACGTCGACTCAAACATACAGCCCGGGATATGATGGAACCATCTGCGTTTCAAAGTCTTACAGGTTCCCCAAGCTCCAACGTCGAGATAACGGCATCAGAATTTCTGGTTGATGTGAACGTTCTAGCCGGTAAAACGCATCTCCAAGACCACTCAGCTAGACTCAGCACTCGCATGTTCTGACAACTTTGAACCCCGCGCCAGAGATTCCCGATGTCGTAAGAATTCTCAGCATTGAGCACCTTCCCGGGTCCCGTTGGGCAAGGATCTCGCGGATTCGGGTTTGTCAGCCAGATGGCGGCGAGGAAAGCTACTTTACTAAGGTATAGTTCGAATCCTGACTCCAAAACAACATGACTAAAAGCACACGGGTAGATATCGCTTGGGCATCAGGGAAGAAAGGCTCTAAAGGGGGAGTTTGAGGCTACCTCAGCGATCCATGCCGCCGTACCCAACTTCTGCCCAAAGCCCATCGCCTGGGGTAGTTTGCAAGGCGAACCCAACGCCTACTTCTACCTTTGCAAATACCATAGCTTCACCGACGCGCTGCCTCAACCAGGCCCTTTCTGCGCAAAGCTGGCGCAGCTGCATCGAAGCCGCACCTCGCCCGATGGCAAATTTGGCTTTCACTGTACGACTTTCAACGGTGACATGCCCCAGAAAAATGATTGGTGCGATACTTGGGAATCCTTCTTCGCCTGTGGGCTGCGGTACGTGTTACAAGTTCGCGAAGAAAGGGCAGGCCCAAATCCTACGCTGGACGAGCTGCTTCCGGCATTGTTCCACAAGGTAATCCCGAGGTTGTTGCAGCCTATGGAAAGTAATGGCCGAAAGCTCCGGCCGAGCCTAGTCCATGGAGATCTGTGGTTCGGAAATACTGCTGTCGAAAGATGTTCCGGGGAGGTCATTGTTTTCGACCCTGCTGGCTTTTATGGACACAATGAGTGTACTGGAACCTCCCAATTCCCTTGACTCTCACTGCTAACGTTTTGCCCCCAGACGAGCTTGGTAATTGGCGCCCGGAACGAAATAAGTTCAGACATGGCGGTTACTTTGAGGCGTACCACGCCCACATCGGCCAAACGGAGCCGAAGGAGGACTACGATGATAGGAACGCGCTGTATGCGTTGTACGTCCTTTGCATCCTGCTTCTTCTCCGGCTTCTTTCGTTACCTTCTGCTCCAAATTATCCTACATTGTTATTGTCTGCTCCTTTTCCCTATATATTTAATTCTAGTTCTGTCCCGCTTCCTTCAGCTACGGCCCCCGGACACTGATCTGACCATCACTATTAGGAAGTTCAATCTGCATGCGGCAACACTTTTTCCTGATCGCGATGAATTCCTCCAAATGTAAATAATTGACCTCTCAATTAGGTATCCATGTGCCCAACCGAGGTTACTGATTCGGCATTAGGGCTATTGATGAGATTCGTAGACTGAATAAGAAATACCCCCATGGGTACGAGGGTAATGAGTAACGGAGTCAAGGATGGGAAGTGCGTCACAGTACACGTATTCTACATGTAGTTGCGAGGGGTTCGACCCAGCCGTCAATCTGATATGCGCATTGCTTCTACGATACATGCTGTCGAGGTGACCCTCGAGTCACACCGTGACCCGTATGTAGTCTGATTCACCGAATGAATAACCCGAATGTTAAGGACATGTTTCAGGACTTTTTGTATTTGGTCATGATTGTAACTCGATAAGCTTTCAATACCCCCCAACCCCAGCACAGGCCGCTTGGGTACGGTGTTGTAGACCAGCGCTCATGGTTTCGAAAACATATGTATGCTGTCATGTGGTTGTACGGAGCAGGTTCTGCCTTTGTTGCATCTTGGAAGTTGGAATCAACACGACGCAACGGAGGAAGTAAGGATGACCAAATCTGGTAACAATACTCGAGACTGTTGACGGAGGGAGAGGAACCGGCAGCCTCGGAACCAGAAAACGGGCAACCAACGGTGTTTAGCCAAGGCCCTTGCATCGCAAGGGGATAACCAAGCCGGGCCGCCATTGACGTACGGCATTTCAAGAAGCCCATGTAACTGTACACAATGCTTGTTCCACGAACCCCGGCTGGTGCAACAACGCAACGTGGTAGAATGTCCCGAGGCCACTAAACTTTGCTCTTATTTTTCACGGGGAGATCATTTGCACGGTGGCTGTGGGGGCTCGGGGTTAACTACCTATGAAAGGTTACCCTCCACATGGTCCGCAACCCGGAACGGGAGTGAAGAATCAGGAATAGGAGGACGCCCCAACGCGGCCCGAGCTCCAGTAATCTATATATGGATTATCTGGCAACATTTGCCGTGGATCTGATTGCAGCGGTTGTTCCATCGGCATATTACCCCCGCATCCTGTGACACCTCAAGCCTACTTGTCCGCCTGTCAACGCTACCAATGGAGCTCCAGCTCCATGACTGCAACCCCAGAGGTTGTCACAGTGGCCGCCATTCTCTAACAGCGAGATTAACTCCCACCCTGCTGGGCCACTAGCCATATATTACATATGCAGGCGATACTAGCGTGATTTTATCACAATGTAACAACTTAGAACTTTGGGTGGGACTCTTGGGGGCGAGAACTTGGAATGCTCCTCCTATAAACGCCCCAAGCCAGCCCTGGAAAGCCGTTTGGCAGACTACTGGGTTTTAAATCTCCTCTACTGGTAACAGTAAAACCGGGACCACGATGAGATTGTATCTAGAAACCATTTTAGCGGCAGCGCTCGCTCCTGGGGCCCTTGGCCATCGTAAGTTTCGCATCTCCGTGCATGGCCATCGAAACTGACCCTTTTCCCAAGAAATAATGGGGATCCTCCTCGTCAACGGGACCGAAACCTTAGAATGGAAATACGTCCGGTAATTCAAAGGCCACCATTATCCTGTTGTATAACCCTAACACATATAGCGACGTGGGCTACCACGAGGCATACGGCCCCGACTCGTATCCCCCGGGCAACGAGTTCCCCAAAACGCCGCCGCAGATGGACATCAACCACCCCGACATCACCTGCGGCAGAAGTGCCTTTGATTCCGCGGCCAAGACCGAGACGGCTGACGTGGTAGCTGGGTCCGAAATTGGGTTCCGCGTCTCGTGGGACGGCAACGGAAAATACGGTGTTTTCTGGCACCCGGGCCCTGCACAAGTCTACCTTTCCCAGGCCCCCGACGGTGAGCTCGAGACTTACAAGGGCGACGGGGACTGGTTCAAGATTGCCTATGGTGGTCCGGTGGGAAACAATGAGTGGATGGTATGGGGGGCGCACGATGTGAGTTTGGGATTGCTCGGTCGATTCGGCCCCTGAACGTGGATAAAAACATGACTAGGTACTGACCACGATACGATCTAGTTCAACTTCACGGTTCCGGAGACCACGCCGCCAGGGAAATACCTGATGCGTATTGAACAATGGATGCCCACGCATATGTCCAACTACAGCCAGTGGTATGTCAACTGCGCCCATGTCAACGTCATCGGGCCTGGTGGAGGAACGCCGGCAGGATTCGCCAAATTTCCGGGAACTTATGTGGTCGATGACCCGGGTGAGTATAGTCTAATGCGAGGGATCATAACACATTGGCTTACCTTACTGTTTGTTGTTTAGGCCTCAAGATTCCTGTGAACCAATTTGTCAATGGTGGATACGTGCCCGACGATGAGATGAGGCTGCTTGAGTATAAAGCCCCGGGACCGGTTGTTTGGACCGGATGAGCAGTATGGGGTGCTAGCGGAACGCGTCAGAGTGAGTGTGAGAGGATCCCCCACGTTGGAACTGACGGGAAGTGTTAGGATAAGTGACATGAATATACGAACGACGGCTGTTATACTAGTAACGTATCTCTCCAAATCCGCGAGCATCAAGGAATAGTGCCCCGTTGTCAATGTCATCATATTAGTAATGCTATTGACCTAGGGTCTTGCATACTGAGATGCCAAATGGGTTAAGTGGTATACCGCGCAACATCACCACCGCCACCCGGCCAGGATCCCGTAAATCCTTCCGAGGTGACAATGTCGGTGCCGTCCGCCAGCCTCAAGGTAGCATACGCATCCTTGCTACACAAGCCAAACGCCTGTAATCCCACAGGGTTCTGCTTGATAAAGTGCATGTGTCGCTGGCACTCGTACGTCCCAGCACACCCCTGGTAGCCCGGCCCGCTGAAGAAGGCCCAGCTCGCCGAGGCATACGTGTGAATACCCTTCCCGCCGTTGAAATAATTTGCAGGCCCCATCCGGCACCTCTTATCCCCGGCACCGCAATGCGCAAAGGTCGGGTCTCCCCACCCAGCCTCATCCACCGTCCACGGCGCGGGCACAACCATGAGGTTGTTGTCACCCTGGTCGTAGTTCGTCTCGCTCTGCAGCATCGTCACCAGCACATTCTCCGCCTTCCGGAAGTTCAGCTGATATAGCCACCAGTGCTCCGACCCCAGACCATGCAACCAAGTCCCCTTGGTCGCCTCCACCAACGCACCCCTCCCAGCCGCGAAGCTGCTGCCACCATCAAAGTCCTCCGCAACATGGTCAGCCACCCAGTTCCACACATTCTCCACATACACGGACGACGTCTTCGCAAAATGCATCCCCAAAAACGCCGCCTTGCACTGCGCCGCCGCATCCCGGCACGCATTCGTCAGCGCCGACGCGCCCCTCGTCCCGCCCACCGTCACCAGACTATTCCACACCGCCACATCCCCCGGCTTCGCGCCCGCCATATGGAACTGCATCAGAATCGCGCCCGGTAACACATCCCCCACCGTCACCCTCATATCCTGAATCTGTGCCACGCCGACATCACCCGGCTGGCCGACCTGGACCACCGGCTTCGGGTTGCTCACATCCTTGAAGTACGACCCCCTCCCCACAATCGTCGCCCAGGCCTCGCCGACGATGCGGCTGCCACGCGGGACCAGGAGGGTCGACTCGACGCGGTACTTGCCAAAGGGGAAGTAGGCGATCTTGGACTGGCTGGCGGCCAGCTGGAGGATGGCGTTGAGGGCGGCGGCCTCGTCCTTGGTGTTGTCGCCGAGGATGGTGCGACCGCCGTTTTGGGCCGGGTCTTTCACGTTGAGAAAGGAGGTCACCGGGGTGGAGGCGTAGTTGGGGGCCGGGAGGGCCGGGTAGCGACCGGAGGGGGCGAGGGCCGAGGGGCGGGAGAGCGGGGAGGTGGTGGGCCCGTAGATGGGGTTGCGGTTGACGGTATTGCCGTAGGTGAATTGCGAGATGTGGGATTGCGCCGGGAGGGTGAAGTCGCCGGGGCCTTCGGCGATGTTGGTGTGGAGGGTGTCTTTGTCGAGGTTTTCGATTAGGTAGCTGGGCCAGGAGGTGGTTTTGAAGGTCACGCCGGAGTTGATGGATTTGGCGTCGATGAGGGCGATCCAGGGCGAGCCGCCGGTGTTGAGGACGGCAGTGCCGACGGTGTCGAAGGTCGGGTTGATGATGCTTATGGTGCTGCCACCGTCGATGAGCATGCCCACAGTGTTTTGATAGAAGCTGATGCTCTTGAACACGGCCTGTTGGTGGCCGTTGTACCAGATGCCGTTCTGTGAAAGCTCAAGGTCAGTTCCATCCTGTCTGGGTCCACTCGTCAGGCCGGTCTTTTTACCTGACCACCTTCGATGCGCACGTCCGACACGCTCAGAGTAGATCCCCGACCCAGGCGCATGCCAGAGTGGCCCGCGCCATTGCTCGAGTTGGGCATACGGATCTTGACGTTTTGGAGATGGGCAGCCTGGGCTACACCCCACCAGAGGGCGACGAAAGGTGCGTCCCTGGGAACGTTGGTGGTATCGAGGACAATGTTCTTGAGGCTGACGGCAAAGGATAGCTCGCCCGAGATGCCGGTCGTCGGGTCCTGACCGGAGAATAGAGTGCCATCACGGGGGAAGTTGGATGAGGCCTTGAGGACAGGGGGCTGTTGGGATTTATTAGCATACTGGGTCCTCTGGTTGCGGTAATTCTCTCACATTGGTAGCATCGCCCATAATGATGGTGTCCGTATTCATCTTGATGGTTTCTGTGATGACGTACTCCCCAGGCGGGATATAGACAACCTGCGAGAGCTTTAGCACAGGTTCCTAGCCAACATTGGATCATGGAGTGAAGCATACCCGCGGCTGGCTAGCAAACCATTGGCCATGTCGGGTGTTACCATTAGTGGCAGCGTTGATGGCCGTCTGGATACCGGCGCCATCACCGGGGGTGACAGCCCGGAACACCTCATAGTTGTAATCGCCATCGAGATCGGGCGCGAAGCCGCGCACATTAGCCGATGTGTGGTCGATATTGGCGTACCAGAAACTGCTTTGAGACTGGCGCGGGCCAAGTGCAGGCTGGGGCGTCGGCGATGCGATTGCAACACCAATACAAGTGGTGGCAAGCAGTGTTGCCAATGACTTGAGCTTGGCCATGCGAGATGATGGTCTTCCCGCAGACTGAAGCCTATAGAAGTTGTATGAGGCTTCAATGAGTCAATGATGCGAGCGTGAGAGTAGCAGAGAAAGAGGTGAGGAGCGAAACTCAAGTACCAATTCCGATCTGCACTCAAGAGATCTGAGCAACCATGCATGCCTGGAATTCACTGAGGAGATCCCATCTCATCCCATGCCTAGCGGCCCCTTCACCCCACAAATCTGCCGCGGGCCGAGCAAGGTGCGTTACCAAGGCCATGGATCCGAGTAAGAACCCCCGAATATTGGCCAAGTTTGCAACCAAAAAGTAGCAACAACCCCGCATGTGTGTACTCGGGATGGGATCGAGAGTGGTATTCAAGGTTGTGAAGGTTACGAACGGCCCAATCGCAACCAAAGTTCCCCTGTCGTGGCGCCCGAATCCACTCCAGGCATCAGCATTTCTATCACTCGCATAACTTGAGCCTCCTGAAGGAGATTGGGGCGACTTGAGAGTGGGTTCCGGGCACACCACATCGGAGATAAGTAGAGTAATCATATATGCAGGCTGGTAGGTATAAGTGGAAGAGGCGCAACCTTGATTGTGGTGCCGCTGGCAAAGAACACACGATTGCCAGTCACCCCAGCGCCACCCTGAGAGTTGTTTGTTATTCCCATCTTCCTGACGCCTCGGGCAATGCACTTGAAGTATGTGATTGGTCGGGAGTATTTACACAGGTGCTTAAGGTACACGACGAGTGCTAGAGGACTGTTCTTATTAAGCGGCTACCTCTTTGAAATGGAAATTCCTATTATCTTATTAGGTACCTATAGATGCAGGACGAACAGCACGTCACCGAGGCCGACTGCAGGCTGTGGGTGTCCCAGACAACCTCCCCGTTTAGGCACACGCTAATTCGCGGGCAAACCAACGTCGAACTAGAAGGTGGTATTAGAATCTGAAGCGCGAACGAATATTCCCGGGCCACAATGCAACACGGGGTTCTTAGCAGTCCAGTCCCATGTTTCCCCTACATCTCTGCCATCATCATCTTCAAGGAGTCGGAATTTTGGTGGCTAGTACGTTATCAAGATATACCACTTGACACTGCCGGGATCCGGGATGGTTAATATTGCGGGCCGACTGGACCATCTTGTCAGGCCTTGATCAGGCTAGTGGTTTCCACGTGGCGGCGGAAAAGTAAAGACAGTGGACGACGATGTTTAATTATATAATTTACATTATTTTGGCAGGCAATGGGGCATCTAGTACATAAGTACCTCGTTAGCGCTCAAAGGGCTGGCTTGCTATCCCAGGCTCAGAAGGCCATGCCCGGTTGAGCGGGCTTCCGAGATAGCAATTTGCGCTGCATCGGTTGGTTATTGTAAGCAAAATAAACTCCCTGCGCTGAGAAGGCATTTTCTACCTTCCGTATATCCTGGTACGTCCACTGTGGCGCCCTAAGTTCCATGCCAATCATGAGCCCAAAACACAACTCGCTCCATCTTAGGGAATCTATTTCTGGAGTCGAAGGCAAACTCCTTCATAAACAAAACGAGTTTACCACTCGACCGAGGGATGCGATTGACATTCCCGGAAGAGTCCCGGAATGGTGTTGGTGATATCTCAGTCCATCTGGCGTCACTGAAAGCGTCCTCGTAAATTTCGAGTACTTTTGGAGCCGGTGGCAGTTTCGTTGTTCGCGCTACCTGGACAAGCTTGTTCGGGTTGTTCGGATCTCCGGAGTTGGTAGGATCGGCATACTCCGGCCCGTTCCCAGGGGCTTTGGGGTCATCGGGGTTGAACAAGGCCGACGTGGGAAAGGATGGATGGATCTGCCCCTTTAACCACGAATCGACATGTCGTTTCTTCATGAACAAAGCTCCGAAGATGGCGAACGATGGTGCCACGAGTTCTTCGAGCTTGACGAGTTTCTCCAAACCGACCAACTTTTGACGATGGCCGAACAGCAATAAGCTGTCGGTAAGGCTCATCCGGGGGTGGCCCACCACCAAACACCGTAAAGTGGGAGCAAGGTGTCGAAGAATACTGTTGTTCAGGTTAGCCCACCGCCGGCTATCATAGGTGGTGACCAACGGATTTCCGGGCCTGTACGCGTGTATCGAGCTGCTTGGATCCAGGCCCCGAATATGGAAGGTTTCCAGCTGAGATGTTCTTGCGATGCCATCCGCGAAAGATGAAAGGACTTCGAGTGAAAGTGTCTTCGGTAACACATGCAAATCCTTCACGGCTGCAAATACACTCTTGGAATTCAGTGGTTCCCGCCAGATTCTGTTGGTGGGGGGCTGGAAAAATGTGTCGAGCCAAAAGTCGCCGCCGAACGTGAGAGTTATCCGTTCAAGCTTTGGGAACTGAAGAAGTGAGACGGCTTGATATGAAGTCAAGAGCCCCTCGTCAAAGTAACATGACAGAAACTTCAGGTTAGGGCAAGGGAAAAGCTTGGTGGCGTTGTTCGATTCTGCTGAGTGCTGCAAACTGAGACGTAGAAGCTTTGCCAGCACGATATGTTGACCTCGTTGCTTGAAGATCATCGATATCATCTCTCGAGTCATGGACTGGGTATTGGGCTGGTCCCACTTTCCCCAGGTGATATCGGCTGGGAATCTCAATTCCTGAAGCACCGGCATGAGACAAAGTAGCACATAAAACAGTACCTGTCTGAACCGTGAAGTCTCGGCGTTGTCAAGCTGGCGGACTTTTAGCAGGCCGAACACTTCCGCAAGTTTTTGGCCACAGTGAATATCCTGTCGACCCTGGAGAGAGAGTTCTGCGAGTCCTGCCAACAATGGGTATATCGGCTTTGGCTGAGAAGTCCTGCGTTTCCTCCCCGATAGACTTTCTGTGCAACAGAAAGTCTGGATCCATCGTCGCCGCTCAGGGAACAAGATGAGGATGATGAGAAGTTTGGTCATGGCACGCTCTGACCGCAATATAACTGTATCGTAGAGGGCACGGATGGCCATGGGCCCAGAACGATGGCGATTGGTTCGACAGAGAGCCAAGAGGTCGGCGTAAGACTGACTGATTCCATATGTCGGTCGTAAATATAAGGATATCTGGAGCAGCAGCTCATTTGGTAATCTCGCCAGATGACAGGGGGGGTTGCCCTCAATGCTGGAGGGTGGTGGTGGCCGATTCAAGGTGAGCGAGGAATCGGTGTTTGGAGAGTTCCATAGGTGGTTCCCGAGCTACGTCAGGCGGTAGCTGGAGAAATTTATGGAGTAAAGCTACATGTACATACGTGGAGGTACAACGTGGAATGAATTCTCGGACCATTCAATCTCCTATCAACTGGTTTCATAATCTCGGCACAGAGTACATGTACCAACCCCTCTTGAATGATCACCACTTATCATCTAGGGCGTTCGTCCCACATTGTTCACCATTGCATTGTTCCGCAATGTGATAATTATTCACTCCAGGGGGCAGGCAATGAAACTTATGATCCACCAGTGGGTAATGTAAGGTATAGTACCTATTATGAGACGAAGTAACTGGGCAGGTACTTTTTGCAACCATAATGACATGCGAGACATGAATTACGGGCTTCTTGAGCCGAAAAACATTGTAACAAAATGGAAAGGACTGTTGGTAACAGGAGGATCCTGTAAAGACATCGATAGGTGCCGAGAGAACATGAAGATTATCTCGGTACCTAGGTATCAACCTACCTAGGTAAGTTGTAACGAGGCAGGGGTTGGTATTGATAAAGAGAACCTCACACATTTGCGAAATCCACAGCCAATCTGTACAATGCGGTGGCCAGGTACCACCAGGCAGGCATTCAAGAGAATTCAGGATGGCCTTGGTAGTAATTGGTCTCGGATGACGAAATAGCTACGTACCTACCTAGGTAAGCTCTTGTTTCTGAGCACTGTGCAGGTGATCCACCGATAACAAGAGGTACCCAAAGTATATATAATAGGTTGGAGGGCTCTTCAGTAAGATAACACTGGCGAATATATTACCTATAACTAGTTACGGTGTACCTACCTTACTTAAGGCGCCCAATGACACAACAACTCCTTCCCGACTGTCCTGGCCTGCCGCCCTTCAATCCCAATCCCACCACAATTGAAAAACCCCCACCAAACAAACCCCCCTCCACGATCGCCAAACCAGCGCCAAGCACCACCGTAACCCGGTTTGTGGGCCATCAGCAGGCGGCGCGCGCCAGGGCCCAGATCCCCCTCACGCACCGGCAACTTCGGGCCACCCCCCGGGCCAGAGGCGGAACATGACGGATTAGGAAACCCACGGGAAGGTCCGTCTTCTCGAAACACACCAATTTCTTGGGGCTGGTCACAGGCACGGCAGGGAGACGGGAGACGGGAGACGGGAAGGGGACGGAGGGGGGGGGGCTGAGCCAGTTTTGCGGCTCCAGCAAGATGAGATGAGTCCAGATCAACAGGTTTGTGGGTTGGTTCCCGCCTGCATGGGGGTTCGTCCGCGTTCGGTTGGATTTGTGCGACGAGAGTTCCTTTCCGCGCTTCCTTGGCGGTCTCGATCGTCCCGCGCCGCCGCCGCCGCCGCCTGCCAAAGAGTTAATTTTTTTTATTTTCACCTCCCTTCCCCTGCCCGCCTCTCACCGAAGCAGAAAATGCCATCCCATGACAAGCGTCGCGCTAGCCGCGTCTGGGTTGGGGAGGGAGGAAGGTCCCGTCGGGTCTTCCTCCGAGACTGGCGCGCGCGCCCTCACTCAAAATAATGCACGCATACACAAGGGCGCGGAGATGGGTCGGGATGGGGGAATGATGGGCGGTGGTGCTCAGACTGCGGCCATCGGCCGGCCCGACTGGGCGGGTGCGGCGCGCCATCACATTTGGCTCGAGCCTGGTTATCTTGGTCCTCGTCATTGTTTGGCGTGGGATGACGCGTTGTATGCGTGGTCCCCGTTGGGAGAGGACTGCCGCGATGGCTCCGCCGGGGACGGCATTGGCTCGAACAACGCCGGGAACGGACCGGATCGGGTGGATACCGGGGGTAAGGTCCTTCGCGGGGGTCCGTCGCCGTCGGAGTCGGCAAACGGAGGTAGCCGGGGGGAGGGACCGCCGATCAGCTTACTGCAGTACGTATGCAGTGCACGCGTTCCTGGAAACTCCGCTTCCCTGAGAAAACCCCGCCTTCGTGATGGCTTGAATTCATGTTCTTGGGATGGCGTAGGTATAACAAAACAATGAACCCATCGCCTCCCACCCGAGCCCCGCGGCTGTCATGCAACTCCTGATTTGACCCATGCTCGCTCCCTCTTGACTGTATCAAACACTAAAAAAAATACAATAAAAAAAGGCTCTAGTGATAAATGCTGATTCCCCATGCAATGTGTTATAATTGTCAAAAATGTCCTCCAAACCCCCAAACCCTAAAATCCGGCGCATTTGATCTCGGCGAGATGTCGGGCCGGCTAGAAATCCCACAGGGTGCCAAAGGCATGCAACCCGGCTGGAACAGGAAAGGTTAGCGGTCTGCAAGAAACCGAAGGGGCCCAAGGGCACCCAAGAACAACCCGCCAAGGCTTGGAAAAGTCACAACGTACCTGCGCGGCAACCTTGCATCATCTCGTCGTTGCCCTGCATGTTGCTTGTGATGAAGATGACCTCGGCGCCGAAGCTGTCCCACACCTCCTTGAGCAGCTTTACGCTGTCGGGCCGTCCCCCTCGTTTTTTCGAGTCCCAGAGGATCATGCGCTCGGGCGGGATGTTGTTGTAGATGAGCCCGGTGATGGTCGGTCCGAATGTCTTTTCTTGGTCGGATCCTATCCAGATGAGGAACCTAGGGGGCAGACCATTGTCAAACCATGAAATGATAGATGAGAGGCCACGGAGTTGGGTTTCAACATTTCAAAAAAAAAAAAAAAAAAACGACTTACCAATCCGGGCTCTGAATGCAAGTGGACAGGGCCGCACCGATGCCCGTTCCGGTGCAGATGCGGATTCCTCGCTTAAACATGGGCCGAGGCGTGCCCAACGCCGGCTAGCGCAGCCGTGTTAGTCTCGAATTCTCCCCCGCGTGCCCTTTTAGGAAGGCCGGACAAGAAAGCAGCGCGCGGAACGTACCGAACTTGAGCTCTCTGGTCCACACCGTCTTGGGCGGGTCCGCGACCAGGTCCTTGGTGAAGTCGCCCTGCACCCCGCAGATCATGTAGTGGCAGCCGGACTTTCGGCCCTCGCTGATGATGCCGAACGCGTGGTACTCCATGATGGACGTGCGGCTGATGCGCCCCAGCAGCCCTTGCTGCATCCCGCGCTGGAACTTGAGGATGGCGACTTTGGGCGACGGCTAAATTGCGTTCATCCTTGTTAGCGTTGAAAGGGGGGAGGGTCGAGACTTGGGGTGGCCAGGGAGACTCACGATCTCGACTTCGACGGGGACCTCGCGGAGAGTGACCCAGGGGATGAGGACGCTGTGACGGTGTCAGTAAATGTCAAGTGTTGCCGCTGGTGGAGGTGCATCAGGCAGGGTGACGAACAAGATTGTCATGAACACAGCGAACCACAACTCCTGCGCACTCAGCAAAGAGTGCGAGTCGCTTCTCCATTCTCCCGTCTTGATATCATAGAGGTCACCCAGTACCACGAACACCCAGGTGGCCTGGTAGGTATCTGTCAGCTTAACCTCCAATCCTGAGTAAACATTGTACATACCGCGATACCAAGCCACCCAATGAAGCGATGGTGTCTCTCGAAGGTGTTATGGTAGTTACTAGAAGCCGTTAAAACCTCAAAGTACCAGGTGATGGGAGTTAGGCGAAGTACTAACTTGCGAATCCAGGGAACCGCGCTCAGAACAGATATGATAACAGCGACGTTCGTAATGATGCCACTTGCAATGACCGAGCTGTGCTGCATAGCACGGTACCGGATGATGTCGACAATCTTGTAGATGAGCCAGCTACGAGTTGTGTTAATGTTGCTATTCAACACTCAGGGGCGTGTTTACTTACGCAGCGCCGGAGAGGGCACAGCCGGAGTGGATGCCTCCAACATGTTGCAGAATTGACGTCACCCCGATCTTGATGCATACCGGTGCCCACTGAACAAAGATTGTTAGTGGTGCCGTGTAGGTAGGCGTGGGGGCACATGTAGAAAACATACACTTCGTAACCCGTAGATCGAGATCAGGTACAAGAACCGCAAGAACAGCTCATTGCGCATCAACACGGCCATGAGCAGGTTGCCGAGCACCAACGCGCCCAAGTGGTTTCTCGCATAATCCCACTTGTCCGCCGCTGCAAAGGCGATACCGACGAGGTTGAGCACCGTGACAAAAGTGAAGAACTTGCGGTACGTGTTGAACCAGAGCTGGAACAAGATCCACCGGCTGGGCTTTGGCTTCGCGGGTTTCTTGGCAGCTGCCGGCGGCGGACTCGGTGGTGTTACCGTGCCATCGGTCGTTGAGACTGCCTCTAACGCCTTCTTCTCATCGATGTAGGCCACTGGCGGTGAGGCAATCACCGGTAATGCCGCCGTGTTGTCGTAGATGCCTTTCTCGGCGTCATCCAACGCCGTTGACGAAACGGTGGTCCCTTCCGGCAGGGCCTGTTCGTGGTGGGACCATTTCGCGTCGGCAGACATCGTGACGGCGCCCCTTGGGTGAGGGTGAGGGTGAATGGGGGAAGGTGAGAAAGGAGTATTAAGGCTGAGCGGCTGTAGTCTAGAACCAGGCAAGAGGTCGGGAATCTTGCCGGAGCCTTGGTCTTTAACGCAAGTTGAGGAGCTGGGGAATCTTGAAACGACCGGAAGGGTGATCCGCCAGGAACGGTGGCCCGGAGCAGGAGGCAATGACGGCACGCCGGTGGGGAAGGATTGTTGGCAGTGAAGGAGTGTGCGCGCTTCGCCCTGGAAAACCCACGCGTTCCCTGGCCCAGAGCCGCAACGTCGGTTCCAGCGACCCGATGGCGAGCTGTGGCCAAGACGGAGAGGAAAGTCGAACTCCGTTGGACGGCCAGATCTGGGTATTGATACTACCTAAGTAGTCATCCAGGAACACGATTTCACGAGGCGGTGTCCACATGTTTAAACCACACGCTAGCTACCCTCCCGGCGGGTCTTCATGGTGACTCTAAACAGAAACCGTCAAAATGACATGTACCGGCTTCTGCCAAGGCACGAATAGCGCAGCCCAGATGGACTGCCCTGGCATACCATGACCCAGCATCCCGAATTCTCGCCGTAAACAGATATGCCGTGGCTCTCCGTGGGGAACCCAGGGCCGTTCGGGCAATTGCCGCCTCTGGGGGGCTTGTGTGACATGGCCGTGGTCCCAATTAGGATACAAGGACGATATTTCAGCCGAGATTGTTCCTTTCTCATGCCGCCCCCGTTGGAGGACAGCCTGCGCTGATGTCACATGTGCAGGAGCGTGCTTCGGCGGTGCTCAGGGCGGTGTTTGACCGGGGGGGAGGGGTGGTGAAGGAAACAGGGGGGTGCCTGTGTCGAGACCCCCCGGGCATAAAGCCCCGATTAGCCAAATTAACCCCGGATTCTACGGCGGACTCTGCACATCCGCGCGGCAACACGTGCGAGGATCCGGAGACAGATTTTTTAGCGGAATCTGCTGCGCGCTGGGCAGAGCAAAAGACTATATGAATGACTCGGGCGAGAGGAATCCTCAGCCGGCGCACCGCGCTAGATGAGACCACGCGCGATACCAGTCGTTGAGAACACGGCCACCCTCCCCCACACAGAGCGGTATCCCCAGAATGTTTGTGGTTTGCTTTGAAATGCCATGCTTGGTAACTCATCGCGATGGCGAGAGAACCGGAGTAAATGAGAAAGGAGACCGCTAAATTAGGCCGTCGTTGGGCACACCCTTTCGGTTGCCTCTCTCATTATGGATACGTGCCCGGATGGTGTCGTATTCTAGAAAGAAATGCGATCACCAGTCATCCCACCCTCACCAGACTCGGAGAAAAAGCTTATCGGCCCTGTCAACCAGGAAGCGGGGGTAAAAAGTGGAGAGGAGGTTGGCGCGTTCTCGGCGGGAGCGTTGGAAACCAACCAAGGCCGGCGGCGCGTTGGCCCCTGGATGGCATGATTTGAGGCCATGGTCGGACGAGCATGGGTGTGATCTGGTGCTCGCCGGGAGATTCCGTGAATTCTTGACTGCCGACTCTCACTGTGGTGTAAAGCACGCAGGTTGTTTGGGATCTTACATATGCGTTGCCTATCATTCGCGGTAGTTGCCTTTCTGCAGTCCTGCCGCTTCCCCAGACTTCCCCAGACTCGCGGCTGCGAGCCGAAAGGGAGCCACGAGCTCTCGTTATTGGGTGGCGGCCTCCCCCGTAGGCCGAGATATCCCCGGTGTTAAAGATGCCGCCGAGGGAAGAAAATGGGCGTGGGTACAACGTTGAGTCGAAGTCAGGGTGCCCGACAGGAACGATTGCCGCCATACGGGGGCCTCTTCTTTGACCGAGAGCCTGGAACGACGAAAACGAGAAATCAGGCGTCAAAACGACCCACAGCCGGGCTCAGCTCACCCCCCCCGGCACGTTCCCGTCTGCAACGAAACCTGGGAGCTGATGAACAGCTGGTGTAGGTAACGTCGGAAATTCTCCGATGTCACAGAACGGGCACTGCTGAAAGCTTGGCTGCGCTTTGTGTTTGTATCTTCACACCATTATGTTCACAATGATATCGTGAGTATCAGGCAGGTAGGTAGTTTCGTTCATTCTCGGCCAGACCATTGCCGGCATTTCTTGGGGCATCGGACTTTGTTTATCAGTCAGTGCAAAGATGTCGGGGTCAGCCAGGGCCAGCCGTGGGCGGTGTTGGCATGGCCTGCATGACAATCTCCTAGATGCTGACATGCCGCTACACCCGCCGAGCGTATGGGGCTTGATGGGGGTGCTGTTGCTTGTCATCCGTGGTTTGTAAGTCGAATAGCCGGGCCGTCGAACCGAGCACCCCATTCTTGTGAGTGAAACAGCCCCATTTGCGATCCACCCTCCAAGCATCGCTTGACCCGACCCTTCCCGCCCGCGGGTCCTTCCTCCAGCACTGGCGGCCTCGAGATCGGCTTTGTCTCCCGCTGTAACCGCTATCCGAGTCAAACCATTCTATGATGATTGTGTTCTGGTTAATCATGAACGGGAAACAAGGGCGCGTTGCCGAAGAGGAGTCCGCGAGCGAGGACGTGATCCAGACGCCAAGGGCTCTCGCTACCCCGATATCGATGCTCGTGGCAAAGCTGGTTTTGTGAGACGGAAAATTGCTATTTTTCGAAGTTGGAATTCACTTTGTTTACCGGGTAGCAGGCAGGAGCGTGTAATTAGGCTGCTCAAGATGGAGCGGCCCCTGAGATGATGCGTCACCCCGATCCCCGTCATCGGGTCAAGTTCGGCCGCCGATGTGAAATCGCAACGTGGAGGGAGGTAACGAGGAGATCGGCACTTTGAAGTTGATTAAAGCTGGCAGCCTCTTAGGCGGCTATTTCTGGCATGTCACCGTGTCAGGTGGGCTGTCAAACAGCTCGTCGTGGAGGAGCGCTATAGATTGGGAATCCAGAAATGAAACAGAGAGCAGCGGGATGCTTGGGATTGAAATTAAAGCAAAATTATTCCCTTGAAGTAAGGATCTATGCTCATGACTTGACATTGGTGGGAAAACCTAATTGCATAACGGTCGACCAGGCACAAGAAGAACGTTCCTAGTCCAGCTTGAAGCCTTGCCCCATAGGTACCGGTGTGCGGAAACGAAGTAAATACAAGTAAGGCCGGTCAATATTTGGGAATTAAGGTGGCTTTGGGTTATTCCGGCCAGCATGATTGTTTTCGTAGTCGTTTCGATCCTCAATGCCAGGGAACGGCCCCCCCACCGCAACCTTCGGCAAAGGAAACATCATCGTACACTCCCACTCCACCGCCAGATTATCTGCCTCGCTCTCAAAAGCCTCCAATAACTTCACTCCCTTGCCAAATTCTGACATTGCCTTTTCATGACATTCAACCCACTTGTGTTCGCAATCCAAACCATCCAAATCCCGGAATCCCTTCCCAGCCGCCTCAAACCTGTCGTACATCGCGGACGACTGCGCTTTTACTGCATATAGCCGCTCGGGGCTATATCCATTTTCTAGCAGTGTGTCAAGAAGCGGTGAATACCTAATATTTCTCATGAGATTCAGGAATCGGATGCGTAAGTAGTGAGCTACTACGATCCGGGTTGCGGCCAACTCGAGAAAATGGGGGCTTGGAATGAAACATTCCGGAGCTGGAACGGTTTTTGAAGGGAATACTTTCTCCATGTTAGGCGATGACATGGTGGTGATACATGAGGGGAGAGGATTGGGGGATGGGGAGCAATTGGACTCAGCGTGCGTACAGACTTGTGTATTATACCTTGCTTGGTAAACAGGATTAGTTGAGTGATGAACAATTGCTTTTCACAAGCTTTCCATGTGTCGTCACTCAAAGGAAACAGACAAAGAGTTGGAGCTATTGATTGGTGGGCGATGTCGAAACCACACAAATCAAGACAACCACCACGGCAGATCTCTCGACTGACCACGCACCAAGCTGCTCAAAGGACTCGCTTGCCTCGCACCGGAAAACCAATATTAATCCGTCCCTCCCTCCCATGAGCTTGCTAGTGAGGGGCCCTCAACTTCCGATCCGCATCACAATCGGCATCGGTACCTGAAACCGCTCTCAAGACGGGCCTGATATCTAAACGAACCAACCGGGAGCAATCATACCCCCCACCTTGACCACAACTCGACACCCATCTGGCTTACAGACATCGATATCACCGACACTAAACCTCTTGGCCGTGTCCTCAAGTTGCTCAGAGTCAAAAACCTGGTCTCAGTCTTTCTAGTCCTCAACAACACTGCCATCCAACCACGGCGTCCCATAACTTCACTATGATCGAGGTTCTGTATAGTGGCACGCCCTCGATGGAGGGGTCAAGATCGCCTTTCACAAGGGAGGAGCACAGAACGAATCAAA